CCCATGACAACAACCGTTGCACAGGGACCTGTTGTCCCAGGCGCACGGGCAGGTTTGGCAAGCAAGGCTATGGATTTGGTTCCTATGGGCCTGGCCCCTAAGAGGGCCAATCTGATGGCTAGCGGTTTACCTCCAAATGTTATTTTTACCATTCAGTCTGCAAGGGCGCCCTCTACGAGAGAGCTGTATGTGTATAAGTGGCAAGCGTTTTAGCTCTGGTGCAGAGATAAAGGACTTGTTCCTTTTCAGTACTCTGTGAGTGACTCACCCCCTGGTGCTGTGGTTCCTGAAAGGTGTTCTTCATCTCAGACTGGTCTCTAAACCTATTGCGCCTACATGGGACTTGGCGCTGGTTTTGAGCCTCTGGAGTCGGTGGATCTGAAGATCCTCTCCTACAAAACCTCCATCCTTATGTTGTTGGACTCAGCTAAACGTGTTGGGGACCTCCACGTGTTATCAATACACCCTTCCTCTACTCAGTTCACCCCGGGCAACTCTAAGGTGACGTTGCGTCCAAATGCGGCCTTTGCCCCGAAAGTCATGGCTTAGCTTTTGAGCTATTTCCCTTTTTGCCTCCTCCATTTGCTTCTGAAGAGCAACAGGGGTTACATGCCCTGTGTCCGGTGCGAGCTTTACACAAGTACATTAAATGGACCTGGGATATCTGGTTACGTGACCAACTTTTGGTCTGTTTTGCTAATCCAGCTCGCAGCAGGGCGCTCTCTAAGCAGCGTCTCTCCCACTGGATTGTGGAGGCTGGCATATAGCAGCAAGGGGCAAGGGTTACCTAGCAGTGTACGCACCCACTCTACCAGGGGTCTGGCAGCGTCTTGGTCGTTGTTTAAAGGATTGACTATAGGAGATATTTGTGCTGCGGCGAGTTGGGCATCACCACACACTTTTGTGAGATTTTATAGCTTGGATGTCACTGCTCCCAGTATAGCACACAGTGTGCTTCCGGCTGGGACAGGGGAAAGTCACTAGGCAGTGCACCATGTGCACAATACCCAGACAGCCGCATCTGGCAGGGTCAGGTATGGGTGGTCTGCCATGGGCCGTTTCATTTATACTGAACAAAAATATAAATGCAACATGTAAAGTGTTGGTCCCATGGTTCATGAGCTGAAATAAAATATCCCTGAAATGTTCCATATGCACAAAAAGCTTATTGTTGTGCCCAAATTTGTTTACATCCCTGTTAGTGAGCATTTCTCCTTAGCCAAGATAATCCATCCACCCGACAGGTGTGGAATATCAAGAAGCTGATTAAACAGCATGATCATTACACAGGTGCACCTTGTGCTGGGGACAATAAAAGGCCACTCTAAAATGTGCAGTTTTGTCACACAACACAATGCCACAAATGTCTCAAGTTTTGAGGGAGCGTGCAATCGGCATGCTGACTTCAGGAATATCCACCAGAGCTGTTGCCAGAGAATAAAATGTGAATTCCTCTACCACGCCTCCAACTTCATTTTAGATAATGTGGCAGTATATCTAACCGGCCTCACAACCGCAGACCACATGTATGGCGTCGTGTGGGCTAGCGGCTTGCTGATGTCAACGTTGTGAACAGAGTGCCCAATGGTGGCGGTGGGGTTATGGTATGGGCAGGCATAAGCTACAGACAACGAACGCAATTGCATTTTATCTATAGCAATTTGAATGCACAGATACCGTGACGAGATCCTGAGGCCCATTGTCGTGCCATTCATCTGCCGCCATCACCTCATGTTTCAGCATAATGATGCACGGCCCCATGTCGCAAGGATCTGTACACAATTCATAGAAGCTGAATATGTCACCGTTTTTCCATGGAGGTGTACGACAGTGTGTTCCAGTTCCCGCCAATATCCAGCAACTTTGCATAGCACAGGAGTGGGTCAACATTCCACAGGCCACAAGCAAATGGTGGTCACACCAGATACTGACTGGTTTTCTGATCCACGCCCCTAACAAAAAAATAAGGTATCCGTGACCAACGGATGCATATCTGTATTCCTAGTCATTTGAAATCCATAGATTAGGGCATAATGAATTTATTTCAATTGACTGATTTCCTTGAACTGTAACTCAGTAAAATCTTCTAAATTGTTGCATGTTGAGTTTATATTTTCGTTCAGTATAGTTACCGTTGGGGTCGGCTTGAGGGTGTGATTATATTATATTATAGTATGTTGTACCCCGTAGTTATAGTCATAACGTTACCATTTTTATCCATCCTCCTCTGATTCAGAATATATCATTTTCATCGTCATGGCACACTTTATTTAAGAGCTATTGAAGAAAATAAAAATCTAAATTTCAACAAAGGGGTGGATTGTTCTCCATCATCCCGTTTCAGAATATACCATGCTTGATTCAAAAGCTACTGATGTGATAAAACCGAATATACAATATAAAACTAATTTGAAACTAATTTGACCTTGGTCTGATTTAGCACATCATTGTGCACATGTAACTTATGCCTTGATTACACCGACAGCGGCATTGCATTTTGGTACACCAGAAGTACATTCATTTCCAATGGAATGCTGCATTTGCAGCATTGCAGAGGCAGTTGCAGTGCGTTCTGTGTGTTGCATATGTTGGAGTTATCGAACATATGCATCAAATTGTATGCGTAGATGGCTTGACAGAAATGGTAGCAGAAGGTGAATGTTGAACTTTTGTTCCACACAAAATCCAACGTATGCACCACACAGAACGCACTGCAACTGCCTCTGCAACGCAATGTTGCAAGGCAAACGCAGTGTTCCATTGGAAATTAATTTACTTCTGGTGTACCAAAACGCAATGACGCTATAGGTGTTAGCCCTACAGATCATGAAATATTTTGAGGCAAAATTACAGACAGTAGCCTGCAATTAGCAAAGTAGAACTCAATTGATTTAACATGAAATTGATGTAAATATGATTTAAATATATAGGCCTATATAGCCTATATCTTTTAATGCAGTCATCTTGGTTTTAATTTGAAGCATCTTTTTATCCTTCGTTTATTTGTAACAATTGCAAAGACATTGGCAACTTTGTATTTGAAGCCTAGTCAACTTCCTTCTGAAGTTATCAGAGGTCACAGCGAGACAGATAAACATCTTGATTCTGTGTTTAGCGGAGAGCTTCTGTGTATAAAGTGACGCGGAAGGGCAAAAAAGCATCTAACGACGCACTGTTCTACGAGTGTTTTGAGGCAGTCGGTAAATAACCAGCGTTTTCAAGTGCAACTTCGTTAACGATGGTTTTAGGAAACAGCTCGAAGATTTAACGATGCTCCTACGATGAACTTAAGATGCTTTTGGGAAAATGGGCCCGGTGCCAAACAGATGCCAACACCAGGCCTCTAGGATAAAAGCATCACAGTGCCCTAATAGGTCTACGGACTAGGTCTAATAGGTCTACATAACCGGAGTTGACACTTTTTCCTTTTTACTCACAATATCAGTTTGATTTCAAAAGCACCAATCTAGAGGCAAACGTCATTGTTGAGTCTCAAGGCTTTTTTATTACCTGTAAAACATTGGAGACAAACCTGCTAGTCTATCCCCTCTGTGTTGTTCGGTAACAGTACTGTACGTTAAGTAAGGCATCGGAGGACAGGCAGTCACCGTCTAACCATGTAATTTCATGTAATCATCAAAACACAAACATTCTGCCCCTCACATTGCTATGCTGAGAGGTACAGCCCGTTCACAATTCATATATGTTGGGAGGAAACGTTAAAACAGAATTTGTACAAAATCATTGTTAACATTTCAGCCCAACCACTCATTAATACGTCAATGACATACACGCCCCCCCCCCCCAAACACACCCTCCCCTCTTTAGTCAATCACAGAATTGAAATTATCTGTAGCTTTGGAAATGTCAAGCAAGCCTGAGCGAGAGAAGTCCAGAAGGCTGGCTCGCGTTCAGGAGGGTGCACACGTTCGTTCTCAACATAAGAAATGGCTTCTATACAGACGACAATGATTCTCTATTTTTCAGGACAAAGAAGCATGTCTGTTCCATATATTCCTATCTGAAGGTCCTGTAACGTTGCACGCCACCTGGGTAGGTGAATGCACTTTACAGGACTGAATGCGACCCAGAATTGCAGAGCTCCAGTTTGAAGGCACATGTGTGACCTTACCCTCTCCCTTCTCACTGACAACCCTACAGGAGAGGGTTTAGCACTGTGGCGCTACGTCTCAATAGTGTACAGTAGGAGGACTACCATCCTTCCCTACTTAAGAGAGTTGATAGGTAAAAGCAAAACCGTCAAAGAAGCCCAATACATAATTGAGCCGACTGGACTTTCATTTCAGTTCATTTTGAATTATTTGAGATAAGTGCAGATGAGGACAAGGAGACAAGGCGAGGAAGGATGTTTAGACTACTGAGACACAGCCCAGGTGTAAAGGGGGAATTCCACTTCCATTCCTGGATAAGCCTCCCTGTTGCATATTCCAAATGTGGAATTAATGGATTGTAATTATTAAAGGCAGGGTGAAAGTGTGTAGTGTTGAACGGAGCATACAGAGGCTGCGCCCCAAATGCTATGGGCCCTGGGGTCCATAGTGCCATTCCTATGTAGTACACTACTTTTGACCATATCCCTATGGCAGTGGTTCTCAAACCTCTCCTTATGAAGTCATAATCCCAGCTCTAAGCAGGATACACACGTGTGCAAACAGTCAATAGCTACCTCCATTCATGAAGCGCATGTGCACGCACACACAGCATTGTCCTTCCCAGAGAGGCTTCAAAAGGTTAGCTTACAAAAATCAGACTCAATATATAAATAGACATATACACACATTATTGTGCATATGTGTGTAACAGTGTGCATGTGTGTGTGTGCATGTGTATGAACCCGCAGGTCCTTCGTCACTCCCTGTCAGTCTCAGTCAAGCACGGATGACGGCTGGCTGACAGTGCAGTCATTTCAAGTCTGTTACAGTTCTTCACCTTTTTCAACATGGCTCCCTCTCTCGTTTCTCTTCTCTTCTCCCGGCCTCTCAGGCGGACACGTTGACGTCACGTAGTGTGATAGTACCAGTAGTGGGGGGGTCGGCGGGCCCCGGGTGGCTCCTGGGGATGGGTCTGGGGGACGGGGGGGTGGGGGGTAGCAGTGAAGGGTCAGAGCCTGTGTTGGTGGGTAAAGCACTGGTCTGGAACAGGATCTGATGGAGTGTCCGTCGGAGGTTGGGGTGGAGTCGGGCCTGTGTCTGGTAGAACACCTCGGCCGCAAAACACTTCATCACCCCGGCACACAGGTCCTCGTACAGTGGCACCGTGTACATCCTTGACGTCTGATAAGATAAAAATACAAGATAAGGTTTAAATTGTTTTGCTGTGCATTACATGTTATATTTTATTTACATTTGTCTTTGCCACTTACAGGTAAAAGATAAAAAGTTACATAAGAGCTCTGCCGTCAAGAAGTTGACACTTAAACTTGAATAAAACAATTAAAAAGATACTGGCAAGAGAATTGTGCGGGTTTTCCTTTTCCTTTGAAGATATTATCGAATTATTTCCATGCACCTGCAAAAGCTAACACAGATGTGCAAGTGCTTTTTTGAATTTCAAAAGAGACATACAACATACATAATAGCATTACACACAGTGTCATTATATACCGATTAGTCCAGCAAACTCTTATTGAGAATCAACACAATTATCCCAGAAACCCTAGACCCACTCCAATTTGCATACCACCCCAACAGATCCACAGATGACGCAATCTCTATTGGACTCCACACTGCCCTTTCCCACCTGGACAAGAGGAACACCTGCGTGAGAATGCTATTCTTTGACTACAGCTCAGCATTCAACACCATAGTGCCCTCAAAGCCCATCACTAAGCTAAGGACCCTGGGACTAAACGCCTCACTCTGCAACTGGATCCTGGACTTCCTGACGGGCCGCCCCCAGGTGGTAAGGATAGGTAACAACATATCTGCCACGCTGATCCTCAACACGGGTGCCCCTCAGGGGTGCGTGCTCAGTCCCCTCCTGTACTCCCTGTTCACCCATGACTGCATGGCCAGGCACGACTCCAACACCATCATTAAGTTTGCCAATGACACAACAGTGTTAGGCCTAATCACCGACAACGATGAGACAGCCTATAGGGAGGAGGTCAGAGACCTGGCCGTGTGGTGCCAGGATAACAACCTCTCCCTCAACGTGATCAAGACAAAGGAGATGATTGTGGACTACAGGAAAAAGAAGAGGACCGAGCACGTCTCCATTCTCGTCGATGGGGCTGTAGTGGAACAGGTTGAGAGCTTCAAGTTCCTTGGTGTCCACATCACCAACAAACTATCATGGTCCAAACACACTAAGACCGTCGTGAAGAGGGCACAACAAAGCCTATTCCCCCTCAGGAGACTAAAAAGATTTGTCATGGGTCCTCAGATTCTCAAAACGTTCTACAACTGCACCATTGTGAGCATCCTGACTGGTTGCATCACCGCCTGGTATGGCAACTGCTCGGCCTCCAACCTCAAAGCACTACAGAGGGTAGTGCGTACGGCCAAGTACATCACTGGGACAAAGCTTCCTGCCATCCAGGACCTCTATACCAGGCTGTGTCAGAGGAAGGCCCTAAAAATTGTCAAAGACTCCAGCCACCCTAGTCATAGACTGTTCTCTCTGCTACCGCACGGCAAGCGGTACCGGAGCACCAAGTCTAAGTCCAAAAGGCTTCTTAACAGCTTCTACCCCCAAGCCATAAGACACCTGAACAGGTAATCATGGCTACCTGGACTATTTGCATTGCCCCCCCACTCCACCCCCCCACCCCCTCTTTTACGCTGCTGCTATTCTGCATATTATCTATGCATAGTCACTTTAACTCTACCTACATGTACATATTACCTCAATTACCTCGACTAACCGGTGCCCCCGCACATTGACTCTGTACCGGTACCCCCTGTATATACCTCCTTTCCGTTATTTTATTTCACTGCTGCTCTTTAATTATTAACTATTTTAATTTTTTACATATCTATTTTTAACTTTTTATTTTCTTAAAAACTGCATTGTTGGTTAAGGGCTTGTTATTAAGCATTACACTGTAAGGTCTACACCTGTTGTATTCGGCGCATGTGGCAAATAAAATTTGATTTGATTTGAACTGCTGAGGGGAGACACACCGTTTGACGCCATTTGGCTATGACATACAGTGCATTCGGAAAGTATTACGACCCCTTCCCTTTTTCCACATTTTGTTATGTTACAGCCTAAAAATGGATTAAATGTTTTTTTCCCTCATCAATCTACAAACAATACCCCATAAAAAACTGAATTACCTTATTTACATAAGTATTCAGACCCTTGGCTATGAGACTTGAAATTGAGCTCAGGTGCATCCTGTTTCCATTGATCATCCTTGAGATGTTTTTACAACTTGATTGGAGTCCACCTGTGTTAAATTCAATTGATTGGACATGATTTGGAAAGGCACACACCTGTCTATACAAGGTCCCACAATTGACAGTGCATGTCAGAGCAAAAACCAAGCCATAAGGTCAAAGGAATTGTCCGTTGAGCTCCGAGACAGGATTGTGTCGAGGCACAGATCTGGGCAAGGGTACCAAAAAATGTCTGCAGCATTGAAGGTCCCCAAGAACACAGTGGCCTCCATCATTCTAAAATGGAAGAAGTTTGGAACCACCAAGAATCTTCCTAGAGCTGGCTGCCCGGCCAAACTGAACAATCGGGGGAGAAGCGCCTTGGTCAGGGAGGTGACCAAGAACTCGATGGTCACTCTGACAAAGCTCCAGAGTTCTTCTGTGGAGATGGGAGAACCTTCCAGAAGGACAACCTTCTCTGCAGCACTCCACCAATCAGGCCTTCATGGTAAAGTGGCCAGACGGAAGCCACTCCTCAGTAAAAGGCACATGACAGCCCGTTTGGAGTTTGCCAAAAGGCACCTAAAGGACTCTCAAGATTCTCTGGTCTGATGAAACCAAGATTGAACTCTTTGGTTTGAATGCCAAGCGTCACTTCTGAAGGAAACCTGGCACCATCCCTACGGTGAAGCATGGTGGTGGCAGCATCATGCTGTCGGGATGTTTTTCAGCGGCAGGGACTGGGAGACTAGTCAGGATGAACGGAGCAAAGTACAGAGAGATCCTTGATGAAAACCTGCTCCAGAGCGCTCAGGACCTCAGACTGGGACGAAGTTTCACCTTCAACAGGACAACGACCCTAAGCACACAGGCAAGACAACGCAGGAGTGGCTTCAGGACAAGTCTCTGAATGTCCTAGAGTGGCCTAGCCAGAGCCCGGACTTGAACCCGAGCGACGCTCCCCATGAATACTTATGTAAATGTGATATTTCAGTTTTTAATAAATTTGCAAACATTTTTAAATATCTGTTTTTGCTTTGTCATTATGGGGTATTGTTTGTAAATTGATGAGGGAAAAAAACTATTTAATCAATTTTAGAATAAGGCTGTAATGTAACAAAATGTGGAAAAAGTCAAGGGGTCTGAATACTTTCCGAATGCACTATATGAGTAACTGGCCTGCTACACTAGACGTATAACTTTTGCAGAGTGTGAGACACCTCTATCCATTTCAATAAAAATCTGGGCGTAAGTACGCTGGCTCCACGAGAGCCTCATGCTGCTCTGTGAAGAATTACACTCTAGTTTTATTTTAAAGATTTTGAGGTGCAGCTCAGACCCGAGAACAATGTTCTTGCATTGGCCAAAAGTGACATGTTCCCTCCATCCCCATCCTGCCATCCCTTTTAATAGCTTTTATTTGGGGCGGCAGATTGCCTAGTGGTTAAGAGCGTTGGACCAGTAACGTCCCGAAAGGTCGTTGGTTCGAATCCCTGAGATGGCTAGGTGAAAAATCTGCCGGTGTGCCCTTGAGCAAGGCACTTAACCCTAATTATTCCTGTAATTTGCTCTTAAGCGTCTGCTAAATGACTAAAATGTAAATGTAATTCTTGTGTAGTCTCTATTGAATTCATATGTTGTTACATAGTACTTTTATAACTGCACAGTAATAGAGTGAGTGGAAAAAGGAACACATGTAGCAGGGTTTCCCAAACTTGGTCCTGGGGCCTCCCAGGGGTGTATGCTTTGTTTTTTGCCCTAGCACTACACAGCTGATTCAAATAATCAACTCATCATCAAGCTTTGATTATTTGAATCAGCTATGTAGTGCTAGGGCAAAATCTAAAATGTGCACCCCTGGGAGGCCCCAGGATTGAGTTTGGGAAACCGTGATGTAAGGTAATTGAGTGATTTTTAAAAATCGAGCTGCAGATAGATCAGTCAGATTCGCTGTATAAACATCCTTCTTTTCTTCCTTGAATTAATTACAGATCTTGAATTGGTTGAATTGGAAAGTAACAGCATTCACCTAACCAATCACTTATAGATCTGTGATTATTGTAAGTATATGAGGAAGGAAGGATGCATTGTTTAGTGATAAAAAAAAAAGGTGACAGTTCAGTTTGTTAGCTGGTTATTTAGCAACGTCCAGAATATCCTGGCTAGAGTCTTTGTAGAATATAGCAATGCTAGTGGAAACGGATTGTATCAGTTAGTAATGCGTTCAAAAGTCGGAAATAAGCTTAAAGCCCCCATGCAGTCGTCATAATTTTATTTAAAAAATATCACTGTATGTCTAATAAATCACTGTTTATTTAATGAAAATAACCTCTGGCCCTTGAAATGCTCAGTCTGATCGTGTTGGCGTTACGAAACAAATGTGAAGATATTAACATACACAGCCCTGATTGGCTGATAGGATGGTCTAGAGCCCACCCCCTTACCCAAATTAACAGTAATTAGTCTATTATAATCAGATCACATTGTGACATCATGATGTGGGCCAAAAGTTCCATCCCACCTGAACAGGCTGAAATTCTAGGATTTCTTTTCAAACAGCTCTTACATAAAAAGGGGTATTATCATAATTTGTACAATTTCAGAGTGTTATTTCGATCTCATAGTGTGGAAATATCATTTAAAAAACAGGAAAATCAAGTTTAACTGCACCGCCCTTTTGACTTTAAAAAAGTGAACTATCCCTTTAAGTATTTGATAGTGCTGAGCAATTAGTGCTTTTTGAGGTAGGATCAGTTTCGGTTCACGGTTTTCTATTTTGGTTTAAATGTTTTGTTGTTTTTTACATTAACTACACTATGCATTATGTGGGTTGAATGCTGTAACAACACAGAATACAACAATTAATAAAAGTCCCATGATGGTAGTGACTGCCCATTACTGCTTATCACTTAATAACCATCATTTATTCACATTACTTTCATAAAATATTTCAGTTGTTGTGTATATTACATTTGTTTTATTTGATGACTTTATTATTTCATTCCAAGTCATCATCTCATCTCTATAGAGCTGCTGCCTATGCTGTCTGACTAAATCACAATTTTAGTAGTTCTTCAAAGTAAATAAAGCATGCTTTTATTACTGCTGAATACCAACTATCAATCACTTAGATCATGTATTTTAAGTTAGAGATACCTCGTGAAGCAACTGCTCTCTATCCCTCTCCATCATGCGTTCTTCCATCTCTTCTCTCAGTCACTTCTCTCCCTCTCTGTGTCTGCCCCACACCAGACAAATAGGCGCGCAATGGATTACAGTCATTGTAGTTCATTACCTTTTCTGTGCTAAACTATGTAGAATATTGGCCTGTTGGAAACTACAACTCCCTACTACATCGCACAGTTCAGAATTTGTTCTGATTTCTCTCTAGAGAAACTGCACATTGAGCTCACACAAAAAAACGGAACGAAATGGAATTCTAATAATTGAACCGTTGTAAGAAAATTCAAAAATAACCGCCATTTCGGTTAACTGTTCAGCACTAGTATTTGAACAGGGCCAGAGTGACCCTATCTGCGTCCCAAATGGCACTCTATTCCCTATATAGTGGGGAATAGGGTATCATCCCAAATGGCACCCTATTCCCTATATAGTGGGGAATAGGGTATCATCCCAAATGGCACCCTATTCCCTATGAATACACTACATAGGGAATAGGGTGCCATTTGGAACATGCCCTCGCCGTCTGGTTCAGTCACCACTCACGTGTTTGTGCAGGAAGCCGCGGATGCGGGGCAGGTCAGGGTAGAAGCTGTTCCGCACCACGATCTGCAGCCAGCGGATCTGCACCTCGGCGTTCATCTCATCCAGCTGGGCCGAGTAGCAGCCTGACAACTGACCCATCACCTCTGACACACACACAGAACATCCTATCACTCTCTGGGGTAGCTTGATTTACACAACATTTTCCTTGGTACAACGGAACCAATGGAATAGTCCCAAAAATGCTGAAATACACGACGCTCATGTATTTGAAGCCAGGGTCCGTATTCATAAAGCGTCTCAAGAGTAGGAGTGCTGATCAAGGATCAGGTCCCCCCTGTCCATGTACAGTTTTAAGTCGGAAGTTTACATACACTTAGGTTGGAGTCATTAAAACTCGTTTTATAACCACTCCACAAATGTCTTGTTAACGAACTATAGTTTTGTCAAGTCGGTTAGGACATCTACTTTGTGCATGACACAAGTAATTTTTCCAACAATTGTTTACAGACAGATTATTTCACTTATAATTCACTGTATCACAATTCCAGTGGATCAGAAGTTTACATACAATAAGTTGACTGTGTCTTTAAACAGCTTGGAAAATTCCAGAAAATGATGTCATGGCTTTAGAAGCTTCTGATAGGCTAATTGACATCATTTGAGTCATTTGACCTTGTGAAGATGCTGGAGGAAACAGGTACAAAAGTATCTATATCCACAGTAAAACAAGTCTTATATCGACATAACCTGAAAGGCCGCTCAGCAAGGAAGAAGCCACTGCTCCAAAACCGCCATAAAAAAGCCAGACTACGGTTTGCAACTGCACATGGGGACAAAGATCGTACTTTTTGGAGAAATGTCCTCTGGTCTGATGAAACAAAAATAGAACTGTTTGGCCATAATGACCATCGTTATGTTTGGAGGAAAAAGGGGGTCGCTTGCAAGCTGAAGAACACCATCCCAACCGTGAAGCACGGGGGTGGCAGCATCATGCTGTGGGGGGTGCTTTGCTGCAGGAGGGACTGGTGCACTTCACAAAATAGATGGCATCATGAGGAAGGAAAATTATGTGGATATATTGAAGCAACATCTCAAGACATCAGTCAGGAAGTTAAAGCTTGGTCGCAAATGGGTCTTCCAAATGGACAATGACCCCAAGCATACTTCCAAAGTTGTGGCAAAATGGCTTAAGGACAACAAAGTCAAGGTATTGGAGTGGCCATCACAAAGCCCTGACCTCATTCCTATAGAACATTTGTGGGCAGATCTGAAAGAGCGCGTGCAAGCAAGGAGGCCTACAAACCTGACTCAGTTACACCAGCTCTGTCAGGAGGAATGGGCCAAAATTCACCCAACGTATTGTGGGAAGCTTGTGGAAGGCTACCCGAAACGTTTTACCCAAGTTAAACAGTTTAAAGGCAATGCTACCAAATACTAATAGAGTGTATGTAAACTTCTGACCCACTGGGAATGTGATTAAATAAATAAAATATGAAATAAATAATTATCTCTATTATTCTGTCATTTCACATTCTTAAAATAAAGTGGCGATCCTAACTGACCTAAGACAGGGAATTTTTACTAGGATTAAATGTCAGGAATTCCGACTTCAATTTGTACATCTTACTTATTATTATAGAAAAGGAAAAACTGATCCTAAATCAGCACTCCTACAGTAAGAAGCTTGATACATAGTATGGTGCCTACCGTGTGAGAGGGGTGAGCGGTCCAGCAGTCGGTCCAGGAAGAGAACGGTCTGGAAGGTGCTCCAAGAGGAGAGGTTAAAGTTTGAGATAGCTGCAGGGTCCGGGGGTTCGCTGGCCCACAGGTCACATAGATTCTGGACGGGACCGGTCAGAACTCCACCGGCCGAGAGGTCCGGTTCGCACAGGGGGGGGCCACAACCGTTCAGCCACCGCTCAAACTCCCCAACCCTGGAGAGAGAGAGAGAGCGAGAGAGAGAGACGAGAGAGAAAGAGAGATCGAGAGATTGGAGAGAGAAGAGGAGAGGAGAGAGAGAGAGAGAGAGAGATTGAGAGAGAGAGAGAGAGAGGAGTGAGAGAGAGAGAGAGAGAGAGAGAGAGAGAGAGAGAGAGAAGGAGAGAGGAGAGAGAGAGAGAGAGAGAGAGAGCGAGAGAGAAACAAGTATTATACCTCTTCAGTTCTGGGGTTCACACAAACAAAAAGACATTTGACACTGCTATCCAGCACTTGAAACAAGTTGGGTGGGCTGTATCTTTTTGTTCCTTTTCCCATGAAACTGGTGATGTGAGTGACGGACTCACCCTCTCTCTGGGCCACACAGCTCTCCTTCAGCTCAGGAAAGAAGCCCAGGAATAAATTGAGCAGGTCCTGGGCCACAACACTGCTGAACTTAAACTGCTCTATGTAGGCCTGAGAGATAGAAACATGACACAGTTTCAAGTGATGTGGTGTGCCTGTGTGTGTGGTGTGTGTGTGTGTGTGTGTGTTCATGCGCTCTCTTACCCTTAGGAAGCTATCGAAGCGCTTGACGTCGCCACAGAGTTGAGAGAGGTATGAGACAAAGCAAAAGCCTTTCTCATAAGTGAACAAATTCATCAGACTACTGGGATTAATACCTAAGGGAAGAAAAAAAACATGAAAGGAGAGAGAATGAAAGACAAGAAAACAGAGTAACAGTAGTCATTTAAAGAAATATATATACACTGCTCAAAAAAATTAAGGGAACACTAAAATAACACATCTTAGATCGGAATGAATGAAATAATCTTATTAAATATTTTTTTCTTTACATAGTTGAATGTGCTGACAACAAAATCACACAAAAATGATCAATGGAAATCAAATTTATCAACCCATGGAGGTCTGGATTTGGAGTCACCCTCAAAATTAAAGTGGAAAACCACACTACAGGCTGATCCAACTTTGATGTAATGTCCTTAAAACAAGTCAAAATGAGGCTCAGTAGTGTGTGTGGCCTCCACGTGCCTGTATGACCTCCCTACAACGCCTGGGCATGCTCCTGATGAGGTGGCGGATGGTCTCCTGAGGGATCTCCTCCCAGACCTGGACTAAAGCATCCGCCAACTCCTGGACAGTCTGTGGTGCAACGTGGCGTTGGTGGATGGAGCGAGACATGATGTCCCAGATGTGCTCAATTGGATTCAGGTCTGGGGAACGGGCGGGCCAGTCCATAGCATCAATGCCTTCCTCTTGCAGGAACTGCTGACACACTCCAGCCACATGAGGTCTAGCATTGTCTTGCATTAGGAGGAACCCAGGGCCAACCGCACCAGCATATGGTCTCACAAGGGGTCTGAGGATCTCATCTCGGTACCTAATGGCAGTCAGGCTACCTCTGGCGAGCACATGGAGGGTTGTGCGGCCCCCCAAAGAAATGCCACCCCACACCATGACTGACCCACCGCCAAACTGGTCATGCTGGAGGATGTTGCAGGCAGCAGAACGTTCTCCACGGCGTCTCCAGACCAGTGTGAACCTGCTTTCATCTGTGAAGAGCACAGGGCGCCAGTGGCGAATTTGCCAATCTTGGTGTTCTCTGGCAAATGCCAAACGTCCTGCACGGTGTTGGGCTGTAAGCACAACCCACACCTGTGGACGTCGGGTCCTCATACCACCCTCATGGAGTCTGTTTCTGACCGTTTGAGCAGACACATGCACATTTGTGGCCTGCTGGAGGTCATTTTGCAGGGCTCTGGCAGTCCTTCTCCTGCTCCTCCTTGCACAAAGGCAGAGGTAGCAGTCCTGCTGCTGGGTTGTTGCCCTCCTACGGCCTCCTCCACGTCTCCTGATGTACTGGCCTGTCTCCTGGTAGCGCCTCCATGCTCTGGACACTACGCTGACAGATACAGCAAACCTTCTTGCCACAGCTCTTATTGATGTGCCATCCTGGATGAGCTGCACTACCTGAGCCACTTGTGTGTGTTGTAGACTCCGTCTCATGCTACCACTAGAGTGAAAGCACCGCCAGCATTCAAAAGTGACCAAAACATCAGCCAGGAAGCATAGGAACTGAGAAGTGGTCTGTGGTCACCACCTGCAAAACCAGTCCTTTATTGGGTGTGTCTTGCTAATTGCCTATAATTTCCACCTGTTGTCTATTCCATTTGCACAACAGCATGTGAAATTTATTGTCAATCAGTGTTGCTTCCTAAGTGGACAGTTTGATTTCACAGAAGTGTGATCGACTTGGAGTTACATTGTGTTGTTTAAGTGTTCCCTTTATTTTTTTGAGCAGTGTATATATTTGTGAAGCAAAATTACACAGACTGTTTGTGTGTGTGTGTGTGTGCACGCTTGTTTGAGTGTGTGTTTATCCATCTTTCATCTGTACCTGGCTCAAATTTGACCTGCAGCTTGCTGACGGGGTTGTTGTCTCCTAGGAGACACATCTGTCTGTGCAGGGCGTCTAGACGGAACACAGTCTCCAGACAGGTGAAGGCCTCACCTGGGGAAACAAAGGGACGAGGGATTAGCTGTTGGCATTTGTGTGTGTGTGTGTGTGTGTGTGTGTGTGTGTGTGTGCATATACACACCGTAGGCCTTGGTAGTGATGCGTCTCTGTGCGTAGGTGGCCAGTCCCTCACTCAGCCACATCTCTTCCCAGGTGGCGTTGGTGACCGCGTTGCCGAACCAGCCGTGGGCGATCTCGTGGATGACGTCGATCAGCAGGAACTCCCGGCTCTCCAGGATGGAGGAGATTATGAAGGTGAGGCAGGGGTTCTCCATGGCCACGATGGGGAACGACGGAGGCAGGAACACTATGTCGTACCTGTTTGTGACCAGGTTGGCGGAATGATACAAGGGTTGTCATGTGGTCAATTCAGGGCTCCGTCCCAAATTACATCCTATTGATCTCAAAAGAAGTGCACTATATAGGGAATAGGGTGAAAGTAGTGCACTATATAGGGAATTTGGCCCCATTTGGGAAGCAGCCCAGGAAGTGCATTGAAATTCAATTAATGAATTGTACAGAACTTTTTCAATGTATGACTTCACATGAAATGTACCTCTTCAATTGACTGAGTGGTACAGTTTTCTGGTTTGTTCTCTTTCATAGCATGTTTTTGTACTGTTTCAGTTCCATCTTCCCTCTCCCTAGCATGACTTCAAAGCCCTGTAAATCAAATCAAATTTTATTTGCCACATGCGCCGAATACAACAGGTGTAGACCTTACAGTGAAATGCTTTCAAGCCCTTAATCAACAACGCAGTTTTAAGAAAAATAAGTGTTAAGTAAAAAGAATGTCTGTCAAAAATAAAAATAATGAAAGAGCAGCAGTAAAATAAAATAACAGTAGGGAGGCTATATACAGGGGGTACCGGTACAGAGTAAATGTGTGGGGGCACAGGTTAGTCGAGGTAATTGAGGTAATATGTACATGTGGGTAGAGTTAAAGTGACTATGCATAGATAATAAACAGAGAGTAGCAGCAGAGTAAAAAGGGGGTGGGGTGGGGGGGACAATGCAAATAGTCCGGGTAGCCATGATTAGCTGTTCAGGAGTCTTATGGCTTGGGGGTAGAAGCTGTTAAGAAGTAAACTGTAGATATGCAGCATTAGTTTCTGGACCTGCGAACACTGTACCATTTAAATCTGAAGACTGTCTAGCCATGTGAATTTGGTAATAAATGTATTCTGCACTCTATATTAGTAATTGGTATGGCTAGCTAACCAAACAAACTCCACCAAATACTACAGAGGCCGTGGACAAAAACAGACACCCCAACTCACCCAGGCCTAAGAGACAGAGTATCTGAAGTGAGTGTGTGTGTGCGTATCAGAGGATGTGAGCGGAGTTGGAAAGGCCAGGAAAGGCTGGTCATGGCTCACATCAACACCATTATCCCAGAAACCCTAGACCCACTCCAATTTGCATACCGCTCCAACAGATCCACAGATGATGCAATCTCTATTGCACTCCACACTGCCCTTTCCCACCTGGACAAGAGGAACACCTACGTGAGAATGCTATTCATTGACTACAGCTCAGCATTCAACACCATAGTGCCCTCAAAGCTCATCACTAAGCTAAGGATCCTAGGACTAAACACCTCCCTCTGCAACTGGATCCTGGACTTCCTGACGGGCCGCCCCCAGGTGGTAAGGGTAGGTAACAACACATCTGCCACACTGATCCTCAACACGGGGGCCCCTCAGGGGTGCGTGCTTAGTCCCCTCCTGTACTCCCTGTTCACCCATGACTGCATGGCCAGGCACGACTCCAACACCATCATTAAGTTTGCCGACGACACAACAGTGGTAGGCCTGATCACCGACAACGATGAGACAGCCTATAGGGAGGAGGTCAGAGACCTGGCCGTGTGGTGCCAGGATAACAACCTCTCCCTCAACGTGACCAAGACAAAGGAGATGATTGTGGACTACAGGGAAAAAAAAGAGGACTGAGCACGCCCCCATTCTCATCGACGGGGCTGTAGTGGAACAGGTTGAGAGCTTCAAGTTCCTTGGTGTCCACATCACCAACGAACTATCATGGTCCAAACACACCAAGACAGTCGTGAAGAGGGCACGACAAAGACTTCTCAACAGCTTCTACCCCCAAGCCATAAGACTCCTGAACAGCTAATCATGGCTACCCGGACTATTTGCACTGCCCCCCCACCCCATCTTTTTACGCTGCTGCTACTCTGTTAATTATTTATGCATAGTCACTTTAACTCTACCCACATGTACACATTACTTCAACTACCTCAACTAGCCGGTGGCCCCGCACATTGACTCTGCACCGGTACCCCCCTGCCACTCCAATTTCTCTCCATTCATTAAAATCACAATTTAACCAACACCCACCTATTTTTGTGACTACCTGGACTTACCATTTGGTTTTGAAGTATTGAAAACAAACCATATGGATTTGAATGAAAAGTATTTGAATAAACATGAAAAGGTGAGGGGCCTCCCGAGTGGCACAGCGGTCTAAGTCACTGCAGATCCGGGTTCACAAAATTGAATTTCACAAAATTGGGAAGAAAAAAAAGAAAAGCGCACAGAATTTCAAATAGGAAAAAATAACATGTCATATTAAACAGCATATAAACACTCTAAATAGGTCAGGAGCCTAAGAAGGAACAAAAATGAATTATTTAGGCCTACAAAGGAATACATTGTGAAGCATTTGCGAGTGCAACACAATAGGCTGGTAGGAACATAAAGCGCTCAGTATTTAAACAACATTTTGTTGTATTAAACCATTATAGTCTATAAATGGTGCATATAGGCTGTGACTTACTTAGAATTAAATACAAATTAAACTAAAAATGACTTATTAGTGCCTTTGAATTCATTTTTTGAATTCATTTTTAGAAACACAAGTTTGGCCAGTCTGTGACTTCAGGCTCATGCAATGGTGTATTGTATAGATCAGGGTTTCCCAACTGGTGGCCCGCAGGCCAAATCAATATTATGAATATTTTTTTCATTTAGAAATAATAAAACATCTAGGACCAAAAGTCCCAAACGCAATGTCCCAAGAAGGAAGTTACCCTACCTATAGTGCATTCGGAAAGTATTCAGACCCCTTGACTTTTTCCATATTTTGTTAGGTTACAGCCTTATTCTAAAATTGATTAAATAAAAAATATTACTCACCAATCTACACACAATACCCCATAATGACAAAGCTAAAACAGGTTTATTAAAAATAAAGAAAACAGAAACACCTTATTTACATAAGTATTCAGACCCTTTGCTATAAGACTCAAAATTGAGCTCAGGTGCATCCTGTTTCCATTGATCATCCTTGAGATGTTTCTACAACTTGATTGGAGTCCACCTTACTCGGACACAATCTTGTGGATGTCGGGTGAGATGGATTTGATTTTAATGCGCAGGCAGTCTGACTTATGTGAAAGCCGATTCCTGTCGTGAATCTATGTTGCGTTCATTGAGGAAAAGGAGGACTCGCAGGTGTAAGTCGATCCAAACATTGTTAGCACATAAAATGGTAGTTTCTTTACTGTGCTGTATTCCTCTGAGCATGCCACCAAAAACGCACACAAGGATTCGGCCCTCCTGAGCTCATCCGTGATTTGTCTCGATGTCTGGAATTCAATCAGCTCCGTTTGTATTGCGGCCTCATCCAGCGAGTGTATCGTTTTCTTAGCAAGGGAGGAGAATTTTCCACCTGGGCGGACTGAGAGGATCACGTATAAATGCAATGATATCCTTGGGCATGCTGTAGTCTTCAAATCTGGTGGAGAAGTTGTCCCTCAGCTGCTTGATGAAATCTTCCAACACCTCTGTGACAATGGTGCGGCCTGGTCCCTCTGTCTGTCGTTTCTTCAGTGTGCTGAAGTGCAGTAGCCTTCCAGTCCAAATTGAACAACTCAAGCTTCCTAATAAAGGCCTCAAGTTTTTCCACCATGTACACGACTGTTTTCCCTCTTCCTTGTAACTGCAGATTTAACCCGTTTGTGACAGAATATGTCAGCCAAATAAGCCGTGTGTGTAGCTTGCAGTTAACGCTTTAATGTTTCTGCGTCGGGCCTCTGTCTGGGGAGGGAAGACCACTTTGTTCCATGCTTAGATTCATAATGAAGTCAGATTGCAAGCAGCGACATTTTCATTGCAAATAAGACCCACTGGCTTGGCATTGGGAAAATATGGTAAGATGAACGCATATCTCTCTGTACATTCTTCCCTGAAACTTTGATTTTCATTATCCACCTTTTGATACTTTGAGAGCGACATTTTCTCTTGCTATCAAGCTAATTGTTCTGAACGAATGTTGACATAAAAAAGTAGTTTAGCCTACAGTAGTCTACGTAGACCTCTCATTCCCCAGCAATCAACGCACAGAGAAATAGACAAAAATAATAACTGAATAGAGACATTGGTGATTTTATGAGCGTAATCAGATCAAAATTGTTATGTTATTGTCACTAAATGTATTATGTACTACTCAGATGTGTTAAATGTTGTTCAATTTGTTGTGTAGGGCAATTAATTGTGCTAATATTATATGCTAATTATGTTCTGGCCCACCAACTATTAGCTCAGAAAAAACTTGGCCCGAGGCCAAACCTAGTTGACGAACCCTGGTATAGATAATAGAAACGAAACGTTGCAAAGTATTTACTTTATAAATACTTTGCTACAATGACACACTTAGTTATCTACCCACCTCATTCCTTTCTTTTAGCATGTGCACGTAGTAAATAAAGTACACCATCATGCTTTCGGGATAAGTGTCACACTCTGGCTCCGGGACTTGTAGTTGAGCCAGGGTGTATTCGTTTTGTTGGGGTTTTGTTTTGGTTAGGTTGGGTTTAGGGTGTGTTCGTTTCGTTGTTTTCTGTTTGGTTGGGTAATCATGTGGTTGTGTTTCCTTGTTTGTTTTCAATGACTCCCAATCGGAGGTAACGAGTGTCAGCTGTCGGCTCGTTATCTCTGATTGGGAGCCATATTTAAACTGTGTGTTTTCACCTTGTGTTTGTGGGTTTTTGTTCCAGTGTTCCAGTGTTCCGTGTTCAGTCATTGTCGTTGGACTTCACTATCGTCATTTGTTGTTTTTCGTGGTTGCTTTAAGTAATAAAGTCAACATGTTCGCTGCAAACGCTGCGCTTTGGTCTCCTTCACTCCTAGACGATCGTGACAGAAAAACCCACCACAAAAAGACCAAGCAGCGTGTCAAGCGGCAACAGGACCTACCTACACAGGATTTATGGACTCCCATAAAGGATTCATGGACATGGGAGGAGATTCTGGATGGTGAGGGGCCTTGGGATCAACCGGGAGAATATCGCCGTCCTCGTGAAGAGCGGGAGGCAGCTAAAGCCGAGAGGCGGCGATATGAGGAGGCAGCACGGAGGCAAGGCTGGAAGCCCGAGAGTACTACCCAAAAATTTCTTGGGGGGGGGCTAGAAGGGAGTGTGGCGAAGTCAGGTAGGAGACCTGCGCCTACTCCCTGGACTGACCGTGGAGAGCGAGAGTACGGGCAGACACCGTGTTACGCAGTAGAGCGCATGGTGTCTCCTGTACGCAGGCATAGCCCGGTTCGGTACATTCCGGCTCCACGTATCGGCCGGGCTAGACTGAGCATTGAGCCAGATGTCATGAGGCCGGCCCCACGCATCCGGTCACCAGTGCGTCTCCTCGGGCCGGCTTACATGGCACCAGCCTTACGCATGGTGTCCCCGGTTCGCCTACATAGCCCGGTGCGGGTTATTCCACCTCCCTGTACTGGTCAGGCGACGGGGAGCATACAACCAGGTAAGGTTGGTCAGGCTCAGTGCTCAAGGGAGCCAGTACGCCTGCACGGTCCGGTATTTCCGGCACCACCTCCTGTCTCCAGTCCAGTACCACCAGTGCCTACACCACGCACTAAGCCTCCTGTGTGTTCCCCGAGTCCTGTGCGTCCTGTTCCTGCTTCCCGCACTAGCCCTGAGATGCGTGTCCTCAGCCCGGTACCTCCAGTTCCGGCACCACGCATCAGGCCTACGGTGCGTCCCCAGGGTCCAGTATGCCCTGTTCCTGCTTCCCGCACTAGCCCTGAGATGCGTGTCCTCAGCCCGGTACCTCCAGTTCCGGCACCACGCATCAGGCCTACGGTGCGTCCCCAGGGTCCAGCATGCCCTGTTGCTTCTCTCCGCACTAGCCCTGAGATGCGTGTCCTCAGCCGGGTACCTCCTGTTCCGGCACCACGCACCAGGCCTACGATGCGCCTCAGACAGCCAGAGTCTGCCGTCTGCCCAACGGGGCCTGAACTGTCCGTCGGCCCAACGCCGTCTGAACTGCCCGTCTGCCCAACGGGGCCTGAACTGTCCGTCTGCCCAACGCCGTCTGAAACTGCCCGTCTGCCCAACGCCGTCTGAACTGTCCGTCTGCCAAGCGCCGCAGGAACTGCCCGTCTGTACTGAGCCTGCAAAGCCGCCCGTCTGCCATGAGCCTTCAGAGCCGTCCGCCAGACCGGAGCCGCTAGAGCTCTCCGCCAGACAGGAGCAGCCAGAGCCTTCCGCCAGACAGGATCAGCCAGAGCCTTCCGCCAGACAGGATCAGCCAGAGCCTTCCGCCAGACAGGATCAGCCAGAGCCTTCCGCCAGACAGGATCAGCCAGAGCCTTCCGCCAGACAGGATCAGCCAGAGCCGTCCGCCAGACAGGATCAGCCAGAGCCTTCCGCCAGCCATGAGCAGCCAGATCCGTCAGCCAGCCATGAACAGCCAGATCCGTCAGCCAGCCATGAGCAGCCAGATCCGTCAGCCAGCCATGAGCAGCCAGATCCGTCAGCTAGCCATGAGCAGCCAGATCCGTCAGCCAGCCATGAGCAGCCAGATCCGTCAGCCAGCCATGAGCCGTCCAGCCGGGATCCGCCAGAGCCGTCCAGCCGGGATCCGCCAGAGCCGTCCAGCCGGGATCCGCCAGAGCCGTCCAGCCGGGATCCGCCAGAGCCGTCCAGCCGGGATCCGCCAGAGCCGTCCAGCCGGGATCCGCCAGAGCCGTCCAGCCGGGATCCGCCAGAGCCGTCCAGCCGGGATCCGCCAGAGCCGTCCAGCCGGGATCCGCCAGAGCCGTCCAGCCGGGATCCGCCAGAGCCGTCCAGCCAGGATCCGCCCGCCAGCCAGGATCCGCCAGAGCCAGCCAGCCAGGATCCGCCATTCAGTCCGGTGCTGCTCCTTAGTCCGGTGCTGCCCCTTAGCTCGGTGCTGCCCCTTAGTCCGGTGCTGCCCCTTAGTCCGGTGCTGCCTCTTAGTCCGGTGCTGCCCCTTAATCCGGTGGGGTTAATTTGGAGGGTGGTCAGTTGGAGGAGGCTACGAAAGCGGGTAGTGACTATGGTGGGGTGGGGATCACGACCAGAGCCTGAACCACCGCCGAAGAGGTATGCCCACCCAGCCCTCCCTTGGTTAGCCCTAGTTGAGGCGCGGTCGCAGTCCGCGCCTTTAGGGGGGGGGTACTGTCACACTCTGGCTCCGGGACTTGTAGTTGAGCCAGGGTGTATTCGTTTTGTTGGGGTTTTGTTTTGGTTAGGTTGGGTTTAGGGTGTGTTCGTTTCGTTGTTTTCTGTTTGGTTGGGTAGTCATGTGGTTGTGTTTCCTTGTTTGTTTTCAATGACTCCCAATCGGAGGTAACGAGTGTCAGCTGTCGGCTCGTTATCTCTGATTGGGAGCCATATTTAAACTGTGTGTTTTCACCTTGTGTTTGTGGGTTTTTGTTCCAGTGTTCCAGTGTTCCGTGTTCAGTCATTGTCGTTGGACTTCACTATCGTCATTTGTTGTTTTTCGTGGTTGCTTTAAGTAATAAAGTCAACATGTTCGCTGCAAACGCTGCGCTTTGGTCTCCTTCACTCCTAGACGATCGTGACAATAAGTGTATTTTCAGATTCCACAATGATTCTTTAGTTGTGGACACTACATCACCCCACTCTTGGTCCTCATCTTTGTAAGTTACCTTGATTTAGCACCTGTGTGTTCTATCAGTTTCTTTATGAAAATATTTAGCGAACTCCGTGACGGTAGCTAAAGCAAGGGGCTATAGCAGGACTCAAGTAGACTACAAATGCATGCTGGGCCGGGCATGCCCTGAGCTCGTGAAGTGAGCGCTACTGGAGCGAAATTGGAGCAGGCAACAAGGACAAAGCCCCAGCCTTTGGGAATCTCGCTCAGCGCTCCAGTCAAATTGGGCACGCTCCTCGCTCTGCTCCAGCTCCGCCCCGTTTACATACTCTGGTGTGCATAAGTGTCACAAAAAACATGACCTGTACCCTCATGCATTGTTCTATATAGTTGAGATTCTTGTGTCATAGAACAAATAACTGTATTGCTCTAACCTTCCCCACAAGTAGGGTCCGAAGAGGTCCTCCGCCACGTTCAGCCAGTGCTCCACGCTACCCCCTAGCTTGCTCACAGCACAGGTCAGTATACACGGCTCTGCCCACACCCGGCTCCTGCCAGAGGAAGACAGCAGGGGTGTATTCATTAGTGCAAACCGTAGCAAAAACGTTTTGCAGCAAAAACGAGTTTCTTATTGGACAAATTCAGGTAGGTCCCACCCAGTTTCGAACAGTTTACTTCCATTTGGTTCCTAGTGAGGTGAAACGTTTCCACTATAGCTAGATAATAGAAATCACATGCTATTTGGGCGATTCCACGCCAGCCCACTCTGGAAATGTGATGTACTTCTAGAGTATATCGTTTTCAACAATATGTCTAAAAATGAACAAAATCAAAAAAGGGTAGTTTTAAGATATTCATATTCATATTTTTTTATGTTGAATACATTTATGCGAAACATTTTATTTCAAAATCTAGACATACTTCATATTTTAGAGCACACTATAAGGAGTATAATGACTCCTAGATGTTGTCTATATCATGTATGGTTCACGGATCACAGGAGGCATGTAAAGGTCTAAAAGGAGCTTAAAATTGCCACTTTAATCATGATTTTCTCTAAAATGGTTTGTGATACAAATGTAAAAAGCATATCGAACATCCTTCCACCCAATGAAGTTTCTATGTGAGAATTGCCAGAACAATCTGAGATACCAGAAATATTTCCCGTCCACGCTGGCGTGCATGTGAAAATCTCATGTGATGCTGCCGATTAGGTCACTAGGGCAAATATATGAAGGTATGGAGGAAGGAGGACATTGACACATGATAATATGTGGATGCATAGGGCCAGTACAGGGGCGTCAAACTCAAGGCCTGGAATGCCACAGTGTCAGCTGGATGTTGTTCTTTCATTTACAGTGGGGAAAAAAAGTATTTAGTCAGCCACCAATTGTGCAAGTTCTCCCACTTAAAAAGATGAGAGAGGCCTGTAATTTTCATCATAGGTACACGTCAACTATGACAGACAAATTGAGGGAAAAAAATCCAGAAAATCACATTGTAGGATTTTTAATGAATTTAATTGCAAATTATGGTGGAAAATTAGTATTTGGTCACCTACAAACAAGCAAGATTTCTGGCTCTCACCGACCTGTAACTTCTTCTTTAAGAGGCTCCTCTGTCCTCCACTCGTTACCTGTATTAATGGCACCTGTTTGAACTTGTTATCAGTATAAAAGACACCTGTCCACAACCTCAAACAGTCACACTCCAAACTCCACTATGGCCAAGACCAAAGAGCTGTCAAAGGACACCAGAAACAAAATTGTAGACCTGCACCAGGCTGGGAAGACTGAATCTGCAATAGGTAAGCAGCTTGGTTTGAAGAAATCAACTGTGGGAGCAATTATTAGGAAATGGAAGACATACAAGACCACTGATAATCTCCCTCGATCTGGAGCTCCACGCAAGATCTCACCCCGTGGGGTCAAAATGATCATAAGAACGGTGAGCAAAAATCCCAGAACCACACGGGGGGACCTAGTGAATGACCCGCAGAGAGCTGGGACCAAAGTAACAAAGCCTACCATCAGTAACACACTACGCCGCCAGGGACTCAAATCCTGCAGTGCCAGACGTGTCCCCCTGCTTAAGCCAGTACATGTCCAGGCCCGTCTGAAGTTTGCTAGAGTGCATTTGGATGATCCAGAAGAGGATTGGGAGAATGTCATATGGTCAGATGAAACCAAAATAGAACTTTTTGGTAAAAACTCAACTCGTTGTGTTTGGAGGACAAAGAATGCTGAGTTGCATCCAAAGAACACCATACCTACTGTGAAGCATGGGGGTGGAAACATCATGCTTTGGGGCTGTTTTTCTGCAAAGGGACCAGGACGACTGATCCGTGTAAAGGAAAGAATGAATGGGGCCATATATCGTGAGATTTTGAGTGAAAACCTCCTTCCATCAGCAAGGGCATTGAAGATGAAACGTGGCTGGGTCTTTCAGCATGACAATGATCCCAAACACACCACCCGGGCAACGAAGGAGTGGCTTCGTAAGAAGCATTTCAAGGTCCTGGAGTGGCCTAGCCAGTCTCCAGATCTCAACCCCATAGAAAATCTTTGGAGGGAGTTGAAAGTCTGTGTTGCCCAGCGACAGCCCCAAAACATCACTGCTCTAGAGGAAATCTGCATGGAGGAATGGGCCAAAATACCAGCAACAGTGTGTGAAAACCTTGTGAAGACTTACAGAAAACGTTTGACCTGTGTCATTGCCATCAAAGGGTATATAACAAAGTATTGAGAAACTTTTGTTATTGACCAAATACTTATTTTCCACCATAATTTGCAAATAAAATCATAAAAAATCCTACAATGTGATTTTCTGGATTTTTTTGTCTCATTTTGTCTGTCATAGTTGACGTGTACCTATGATGAAAATTACAGGCCTCTCTCATCTTTTTAAGTGGGAGAACTTGCACAATTGCTGGCTGACTAAATACTTTTTTTCCCCACTGTATATTATTGTCTGATTTAGACCTAGGAAACAATGGTGTGTGGACTTCCTCGCTAATCAATGACTTAATTGATCAATTTAAGGGAGGAACGACAACCAACAGTAACTGCAGCCCTCAAGGACTGGAGTTTGACACATTCATGACAAAGGTTGCATCACAATAATTTCTCTAATATCTTTCTCCTGAAGTCTACACTGCTCTTTCACTACTTCCCACAAATCTTAAAGCATTGGATTGGTGGAGGCATTAGCTAGTGGGAGTTTCCACCATATATGCCAGTCATTTCCTTTCAAATGAGTGAAGGGAAGTGAACAAGTGCACACTTTGGGAGGAAGAAGAGATAATTGAGACATAGGTCCAGTACATGAAGATTAACGCTAACTCGGGTCACTCCCACTGACCTGGGGCCGATGTCGACGTGCTGCAGGTCCCCTGCCACCAGGGCCACCAGGTAGGCTGGGACGGGGTACTCCATGGAGAACTGGAACACCCTGTCCTGCTTGGAGTAGGCAGTACGGGAGGCACTCATCAACACCGTCACACCATCCGGCACCTGCACACGCCCACAAACAGGCATGCACACACACACACACACACACACACACACACACACACACACACACACACACACCACAAAAACACAAAAAGTTCATGAAACTCATTTTGATGCTCTTGGTGACAAAGGGAGATTATGTCAAAGCAGGAGTGTCACAGTCACAGGACAATGAGTGCTAATGAGACTACAGAAGGGATAGTGAGATGTAGATTGTGAAAAGCAGAGTGAGATTAACAGTGAGATTAAAGAAACAGTGGTGTAATTCTATAAAAGCCATTTTATTTAGACAAACCAGATTAAAATGGAGAGAAACCAAGACAGACAGAGAGAGCAAATAAACCAAGATTAAGATTCAAACTCTGAGTCTGAATATTTTGATAATTTTGACCAAGATGCACACCAACAGCAAGACTCATCAATCTCAACGAAGAAAGCATCAGAGAAAACCTTGAGCGAGCGAAACAGTGCCCCTCCGTCTTAGTATGTGTAACCCATGTATCTGATAGGCTACAGACACTAAGACAGAGGGGCGCTGTTTGCCTCGCTCAAGGTTTTCTCTGATTAAATAGATTCAGCCCCTTGCGAATTCAAGGACAATTATGAAACAGACACACAAATGAGAAATCATTTTATACATTTGTTTATTTTCTATTCTTAATTTTTGGCAAAGCCTGGCTTCCCTTGGCATTCATTAATACACACCACTTTGTAGGCTGAATATCATTCCACTTATGGTGTTTGTAATAGATGTCCCTTTCCATTCAAATGGCAGGTGCACAGTGCACTGTTCGGATGCTGGACTTATTTTGGAGTAGACAAGCATGCGCAGGTAATCTACTTAACCTACTTTTTGAAGTGATTTGTTTGACAATCAGATGAAAACATCAAAACTGGTTGTGTTCATGACACATTAAAAGTGTATACATTTTTACAGTTAAATTACATTTCTTTACTATAAAGCCCATAAAACATTGGAGGTCCCATTAAAAACATAATGTGCACTTTGGATAGCACTTTCAAGTGAATTTAATGCTGTATGCTAATACCCTTATATAAAATCCTGACCTTGAATGCAAACACTGTAACACGACTTTTGGAATTGATTTATGATTTATTTAAACAGGGGAATGTACCAAACCTAAGCTGAAGCATAGGCACAAAACAAGAGAACACATTGAAAGAACACAAGGTATTACTTGAACAAACCAAATACTTTTTGGTTTAGTTTTTTCCCACTTTTATACCCATTGTATGTAACGCCTTGGTTAATTCCCGGTATGACCAACCCTGGACGCGGGGACAGGGAAGGTGAATGACGCCATGACACCGTGGGCTAGTAAACACAGCCTAGTTTTCTCACACCTGTTAGTAAAACGGACATCAGTGTGCTGCTATAAGTATAGCTTCCTCCACTGTCCCTGTCCCCATACCGGGCTCGAACCAGTGATCCTCTGCTCGCAAACACACGTGACAGCCCTCCGTGACAACTTACCAACCATTTGAGCTCTCAAATTCGATAGCACCATCAGCGACATTTGAAGCTAGCTGTGGAGTGAGCTTACGGTACGTTCTTAACTCCGTTACGTTACCCAAGAGATTTGACCTCCTGGTTGTAGATGTGTCCATAAACCAGAATAAACATTTATTTGTTGTGGGATTTACCGCCCCGCTGCTGCCATGACAGATGCTATTGGTGCTATATCTGAGTGTTTAACACCTTTTCTGTCCTCGAAGTTGGTCATTTTAGGGGATTTGAATCTGGATTGGCTATCCCTGGCCTCAGATCAATTTAAGAGTATATGCATTGATTTTAATCTGACTCAATTGATCTCAAAACCCACATGGCTAAATGTGAAAAACCCTGTTAACTCTTCATTGATTTATTTAATTCTTACTAATAACCCCCATAAATATTTGTCTAGTGGAGTATTTTCATATGAGCTCAGTGATCATTGTCCCATAGTATGTATTAGAGATACGAAAAAGAAAAATACTAATCCTCATGCAATTAAGAAGATACATTTTACATTTTCTGCTCAATGTTTTTTACATGACATGTTCTACTCTGATTTAGCCACTCCTTCCTGTATTCCTGACCCTGTGTTGGCTCTAGAAAATGTATCCTCCATATTTATTCCTCTGGCAGATGAACATGCCCCTTTTAAACAATTCAGAATCAAAGATAGATCGAACCCTTGGGAATTCTTCAGAATAATCTGAGCTCATTCAGAGGAGAAATCAGGCCTTGGCCAAACCAAGGAAAACTGACTCTGTAGTGGACTGGCAATGTTTCAGACAATTGAGAAACAGATGTACTATCTTGATTAAGAATGCTAAATCAAGCTACCTTTTAAGCTCTATCTGACTCTGCTGGTGATCCTTCTAAATTTAGGAAAACAGTAAATGCACTGAAGCGTACAAATTCCTCTTCTTCCCTGCCTAAGCAAGTTCTGTCTGACTCTGGCATAATAACTGGGAATAGGATAAGTGATGCTTTAAAATCAACATTTTATCACTGCAGGCTTTTTATTTGACAGAAACGGTGGTATATTAACCCTGGTCAGTCAATTGACTGCTCTTCCCTCTGCCAGCCTCTAGCTGACTCGATGGTTAACCCGTCAACTTCTAGTGAATATTTGTTTTCATTTCAACAATTTACTATCTGTGATGTGCTAGATGCCTTGCTTAAGATTGATGTAAAAAGATCCATTGGAGCTAATATGCTTGATCCATTTTTGCTGCAACTCTCTGCCCCACTGATTGCTCAATCATTAACTGGTGTTCAACCTTCCCAAGTTCTCTCACGTCACCCCGCTCCTCCGCACACTCCACTGGCTTCCAGTTGAAGCTCGCATCTGCTACAAGACCATGGTGCTTGCCTACGGAGCTGTGAGGGGAACGGCACCTCCGTACCTTCAGGCTCTGATCAGTCCCGACACCCAAACGAGGGCATTGCGTTCATCCACCTCTGGCCTGCTAGCTCTCCTACCTCTACGGAAGCACAGTTCCCACTCAGCCCAGTCAAAACTGTTCGCTGCTCCGGCACCCCAATGGTGGAACAAGCTCCCTCACGACGCCAGGACAGCGGAGTCACTCACCACCTTCCGGAGACACTTGAAACCCCACCTCTTTAAGGAATACCTGGGATAGGATAAAGTAATCCTTCTACCCCCCCTTACCCCAACTCCTCAAAAAAAAATATTGTAAAGTGGTTGTCCCACTGGCTATCATAAGGTGAATCCACCAATTTGTAAGACGCTCTGGATAAGAGCGTCTGCTAAATGACGAAAATGTAAATGTAATATTTTTCACCTGACGATTATATCTGGTACTATCCCCAAGGTTTGGAAGGTGGCCCATGTACTCCCCCTTCAAAGGTGCTGACCCTTGTGACCTAAATAATTATCGGCCTATTTCTAAACTTTCTTGCCTAGCTAAAATATTAGTAATTTTTTTTACCAGTTACATGCAGCCTGTTCTAGGCCAATCGAGGAAAGCCTCTGAATTAGGATTGAGTGATCAACAGTATAGTGCTACGACCTGGTCTAAAACTCGACTGTACATTTAGAATACATTTCAAAGATAAGAAAGATCTTAGCTGAGAAAAAAATCAAGGATTCTTGACAGATAGAACTCAATGTACAGTGCATTCGGAAAGTATTCACATTTATAAAAATAAGAAACAGAAATACCTTATTTACATAAGTATTCAGACCCTTTGCTATGAGACTCGAAATTGAGCTAAGGTGCATCCTGTTTTCATTGATCATCCTTGAGATGTTTTTACAACTTGATTGGAGCCCACCTGTGGTAAATTCAATTGATTGGACATTATTTGGAAAGGCACACACCGGTCTATATAAGGTCCCACAGTTGACAGTGCATGTCAGAGCAAAAACCAAGCCATGAGGTCGAAGGAATTGCCCGTAGAGTTCCGAGACAGGATTGTGTTGAGGCACAGACCTTGGGAAGGGTACCAAAAAATGTCTGCAGCATTGAAGGTCCCCAAGAACACAGTGGCCTACATCATTCTTAAATGGAAGAAGTTTGGAACCACCAAGACTCTTCCTAGAGCTGGCCGCCCAGCCAAACTGAGCAATTGGGGGAGAAGGGCCTTGGTCAGGGAGGTGACCAAGAACCCGATGGTCACTCTGACAGCGCTCCGGAGTTCCTCTGTGGAGATGGGAGAACCTTCCAGAAGGACAGCCATCTCTGCAGCACTACACCAATCAGGCTTTTATGGTAGAGTGGCCAGACGGAAGCCACTCCTCAGTAAAAGGCACATGACAGCCCGCTTGGAGTTTGCCAAAAGGCACCTAAAGGACTCTCAGACCATGAGAAACAAGATTTTCTGGTCTGATGAAACCAAGATTGAACTCTTTGGCCTGAATGCCAAGCGTCACGTCTGGAGGAAACCTGGCACCATCCCTACGGTGAAGCATAGTGGTGGCAGCATCATGCTGTGGGGATGTTTTTCAGCTGCTGGGACTGGGAGACTAGTCAGGATCGAGGGAAAGATGAACGTAGCAAAGTACAGAGAGATCCTTGATGAAAACCTGTTCCAGAGCGCTCAGGACCTCAGACTCGGGCGAAGGTTCACCTTCCAACAGGACAACGACCCTAAGCACACAGCCAAGACAACACAGGAGAGACTTCAGGACAAGTCTCTGAATGTCCTTGAGTGGCCCAGCCAGAGGCCGGACCCGATCGAACATCTCTGGAGAGACCTGAAAATAGCTGTGCAGCGACACTCCCTATCCAACCTGACAGAGCTTGAGAGGATCTGCAGAGAAGAATGGGAGAAACTCCCCAAATACAGGTGTGCCATGCTTGTAGCGACATACCCAAGCAGACGAGGCTGTAATCGCTGCCAAAGGTGCTTCAACAAAGTACTGAGTAAAGGGTCTGAATACTTATGTAAATGTGATATTTCAGTTCTTTTTTTTTTTTATAAATGTGCAAAAATGTCTAAAAACCTGTTTTTGCTTTGTCATTATGGGGTATTGTGTGTAGATTGATGAGGGGGGGGGGAAAACTATTTAATCAATTTTAGAATAAGGCTGTAACGTAACAAAATGTGGAAAAAGTCAAGGGGTCTGAAAACTTTCAGAATACACTGTATATCTACTTATGGTATTAAATCATGTTTCCTGGGTATTACGAAAGGTGTCCTGCAGGGGTCGGTTCTAGGTCCTGTACTTTTTACTGTTTACATTAACAATATCGACTTGTCTGTAAAAACATTTAACCTGCACTTGTATGCCGATGATACTGTTGTGTATGCTATTGCCCCCACTGTTGACCAGGATCTATCTGAACTACAGTCTGCCTTCATTGTACTACAGACAACCTTTATTGACCTGAAATTAGTACTAAATGCAGGTAAAACTAAGTATATGTTGTTCTCTAGAGAGCATAAAAATAAGTCTGATGTTTTAAGCAAATGTACTTTGGATGGTGTCCATATTGATCGTGTCTGTGCTTACAAATATCTGGGCATCTGGATAGATGAAAAGCTGTCTTAAAAAGCATATTGATGAGTTAGTTAAGAAGCTGAGAATAAAAATGGGCTTGTTCTATATAAATAGGTCCTGCCTCTCGCTAAATAGTAGAAAGCAGATTCTTCAGTCGACGTTCCTATCAGTCCTAGACTATGGCGACATCATTTTACATTTTAGTCATTTAGCAGACGCTCTTATCCAGAGCGACTTACAGTTAGTGAGTGCATACTTTTTTTTTTCTTTCACATGAACTCAGCTGTCACTTCATTAAAGCCGTTAGATGCAGTTCATCATAGTGCACTGCACTTTGTTACGGGCGACAGTTTTAGTACTCATCACTGCATTCTCTACCAGAAAGTTGGTTGGCCCTCTTTGATGTCACATAGGTTGATACGTTGCTATTTATAAAGCCCTTTTACAAAAAGTCCCCATGTACCGAACATCATTACTAAACTTCAGACATTTGAGTTACCACACCCAGTCTCAGGGATGGCTAACTCTGGAAGTTCCTTTGGTCTCTACTGAGTTAGTTAAATCAGCTTTTAGTTGTTTTCTTGCACCTTATTTGTGGAACAATCTTCAAAATGTTCTTAAACTTGATGTTCTGGTGCCTCTAGTGCAATTCAGAAAGCTGATTGAGACCCTTATTACCTTATTACTGATGAATGCGTTTGTTTTTTATGACTGTTTCTTCTTTCTGCTTGCATTTTGTATTTATATTTTGATGTGTGTATTTTCTGTAATTTCTGTAATTCAGAGCTCATCTGTAAAAGAGACCTTGGTCTCAGTATGACTACCTTATAAAATGAAGGTTAAATATATATATTTTTTAAATAAACATTAGCTACATCAACACGACGCAGGTTTGTATGGTGACTTGCCCTGATGGTGGCGTGTAGGTGCTCTTGACGGCTGATGTGTGTTACATAAAAATGTAAAGACAGGTTTATGTTATGTCAACATCAAAACAATAGGGTCAGGTTTCTCTGGAAACCGGCACTAGAGGTGTGACAGGGACACTCACCCTGACAGTAGCGGTGTAAGTGCTCTTGACAGCAGGTGTGTCGAAGCAGGGGAAGAAGGAGCGGTTGCAGACTGAATGGCCCTGAGTGAAGACTAGCGGGCGCGTCTGACCACACGTCAGCTCTGCGTCCAGCCACCAGATCTAGAGGGCCCAGGAACCAATCAGAAACATACATTCGTTAAACTTAAAGTGATAGTTCAAAGTTTGGTCGAACGTCGAGATGTGTCCACATCCCAAGTTTTGTGTATTTCCAGCTATATACCGAAAATGTAGACACCGAATTAAATCAGTAAATTAAACTACTAGCCTATCTTTCCATTTCATTTGGCATATAGCTCAATAAAACGGATGCCATGCGACATGGACATATATCAACATTAGACCACTTCTGAGGTCTGCAAATGCTTGACAGACTTTGATTTTAGAGTGAACTGTCCCCTTAAAGAGGCATTGCAGACAACATAAAGACAATTGTAAATGATGGGTTCGAGGCTGACTACATTGCAGACACATGCCAGATTTCACAATCCTTGATAGGTGTTTAACATGATAGACATGGCACACAACCATTCAGGGGCGAAGGGTGGGCCTGGCTGGTTCCCCCCCACTCATTCACAACAAACAAACCTTCTGCACGTTGAGTTCAATAACTACAGGCATACAGTGGGGAGAACAAGTATTTGATACACTGCCGATTTTGCAGGTTTTCCTACTTACAAAGCATGTAGAGGTCTGTAATTTTTTATCATAGGTACACTTCAACTGTGAGAGACGGAATCTAAAACAAAAATCCAGAAAATCACATTGTATGATTTTTAAGAAATTAAGAAATTAAAAAATAAATAAGCATTTTATTGCTTGACATAAGTATTTGATACATCAGAAAAGCAGAACTTAATATTTGGTACAGAAACCTTTGTTTGCAATTACAGAGATTATACGTTTCCTGTAGGTCTTGACCAGGTTTGCACACACTGCAGCAGGGATTTTGGCCCACTCCTCCATACAGACCTTCTCCAGACCCTTCAGGTTTCGGGGCTGTCGCTGGGCAATATGGACTTTCAGCTCCCTCCAAAGATGTTCTATTGGGTTCAGGTCTGGAGAATGGCTAGGCCACTCCAGGACCTTGAGATGCTTCTTACGGAGCCACTCCTTAGTTGCCCTGGCTGTGTGTTTCGGGTCGTTGTCATGCTGGAAGACCCAGCCACGACCCATCTTCAATGCTCTTACTGAGGGAAGGAGGTTGTTGGCCAAGATCCCGCGATACATGGCTCCATCCATCCTCCCCTCAATACGGTGCAGTCGTCCTGTCCCCTTTGCAGAAAAGCATCCCCAAAGAATGATGTTTCCACTCCATGCTTCACGGTTGGGATGGTGTTCTTGCGGTTGTACTCATCCTTCTTCTTCCTCCAAACACGGCGAGTGGATTTTAGACCAAAAAGCTCTATTTTTGTCTCATCAGACCACATGACCTTCTCCCATTCCTCCTCTGGATCATCCAGATGGTCATTGGCAAACTTCAGACGGGCCTGGACATGCGCTGGCTTGAGCAGGGGGACCTTGCGTGCGCTGCAGGATTTTAATCCATGACGGCGTAGTGTGTTACTAATGGTTTTCTTAGAGACTGTGGTCCCAGCTCTCTTCAGGTCATTGACCAGGTCCTGCCGTGTAGTCATGACTGTAAGTCGCTTTGGATAAAAGCGTCTGCTAAATGGCATATTATATTATTATTATTATAGTTCTGGGCTGATCCCTCACCTTCCTCATGATCATTGATGCCCCACGAGGTGAGATCTTGCATGGAGCCCCAGACCGAGGGTGATTGACCGTCATCTTGAACTTCTTCCATTTTCTAATAATTGCGCCAACAGTTGTTGCCTTCTCACCAAGCTACTTGCCTATTGTCCTGTAGCCCATCCCAGCCTTGTGCAGGTCTACAATTTTATCCCTGATGTCCTTACACAGCTCTCTGGTCTTGGCCATTGTGGAGAGGTTGGAGTCTGTTTGATTGAGTGTGTGGACAGGTGTCTTTTATACAGGTAACGAGTTCAAACAGGTGCAGTTAATACAGGTAGTGAGTGGAGAACAGGAGGGCTTCTTAAAGAAAAACTAACAGGTCTGTGAGAGCCGGAATTCTTACTGGTTGGTAGGTGATCAAATACTTATTTCATGCAATAAAATGCAAATTAATGACTTAAAAATCATACAATGTGATTTTTTGGATTTTTGTTTTAGATTCCGTCTCTCACAGTTGAAGTGTACCTATGATAAAAATGACAGACCTCTACATGCTTTGTAAGTAGGAAAACCTGCAAAATCGACAGTGTATCAAATTCTTGTTCTCCCCACTGTATGTATGGTGAGATTCTGGGGGAAGCATTGAATAGGTCAGTAGCCTACAGAGTAATATGAGTAGAATGCAATTGCTGAATTTACCGCAATCGCAAAGGCGAGAGAGTTTGTATGTATGTAAGATCAAATATTGGGTTCAACTATAGATCAGATTTAAACCATGATGAGATTGAAGCTTTGTGGTTGGACATTCTATTACCAAAATGCAAACACATTATAGTCGGAACCTGTTATAGACCACCAGACCAGTACAAGTTTTATGAATTGTTGGAGGAGACTTGATTTTGGTAAATCAGAGGTTATTGTCACAGGTGGTTTTAATACAGACATGCTCAAAAAGGACAAAGCTACTTTTAAAGCTCTTAAGAATTTTTGTCATCTGTTTGCCTTACACCAGCTGATTAATGAGCCCACTAGGGTCTGTCCTTCTACCCAAACTATTATTGACCTTGTGTTGGTGTCGGATAGATCAAGGATATCAAACAGTGGGGTTGTAAACTATGGGCTCCGTGATCATTCCATCATTTTCTGTAGTAGGAAGGTTCAGAAAACATTTTTAAATTGTCATAACAGTTTTAAAAGGTCTTTGAAGATCTAAAAAAAAAAAATCTTCGAATTAAGCAAAGAACAGAACCATGGATAAACAATAACATTTTAAAGGCAATTAAGCTTAGAAAAATGAACGCTTTCTGGAGATCAGGAAATCCAAGGTAGATTCTATTTTTATAGACTATAAAAAATTAAGAAATGAGGTTAACAGGTTGATAGAAGGCCAAGAAAGATAATTTTAATGACAAAATAGTTGAGAATAGGAACAATCTGAGTAAATTATGGAAGTGTCTGAAGCTGTTAGGTTACAGTAGATTAAAGACCAAAACTCCAAATCTTAGATTGGACATTGGAGGAAAGGTTACATCAGACAAGTCCATGGTTGAATAGCTACTTTACAACTATAGCTAATACATTAGTTAGCAAGTTACCTTGTCAATCAGGTTGCTATGGGAAGAGTCAAGTCCAGCAGTTTTACTCGCAGCAGGGGATTCAAGTAGATACTTTTTCATTTGAAAAAGTGTCTGAGTCAACTGTGCTAAAGAAGCTGAAAGAACTTGACCATTCCAAGGCAACTGGCCTTGACAACATTCCTGCCATATTTCTAAGGGATGCTGCAATAATTATCACCCCTTGCGTAACTCACATTGTAAATCTGTCTATTGAACTAGGCTTTTTTTCAGTGAACTAAAACTCGCAATGGTTATTCCTCTATATAAAAAAGGGAATAAGTTAGATCATGGAAAATATCGGCCTGTCTCAATCCTGTGTATTCTATCGAAGGACACAGAAAATATTATCTTCGAGCAGATTGACAGTTATATTTCCTTACATAACCTACTATATGAGCTCTAATCTGGTTTTAGGAAATCCCATTCCACCAACACTTGCCTACTATATCAAACTGACCATATCAGGAAGGAAGTAGATGTTAGATCTCCAAAAGGCGTTTGATACAGTGGATCATGAGATTCTGTTAATCAAACTAAGAGCCATGGGCTTTAACAACCGTAAAATGGGTTCTCTCTTATCTGTAAGTAAGGAAACAGATGGTGGATGTGGATGGGACCCTGTCTAAACCCAAAAGCTTGAACTGCGGGGTACCCCAAGGGAGTGTGTTGGGTCCACATTTCTTTCTGTTGTATATAAATGATCCGAAATCTGCCTGTACATGTGACTTTTTCCCTCTCTGCAGATGATTCTGCACTGTTGGTTTCCCACAAAGATAAAAATGTGGTTGAGAAAGCCCTCAGTGCTGAACTTCTGAATGTCAGTAAATGGCTTATGACAATAAGCTGTGACTTCACCTTGGAAAAACAGTCCATCTTGTTCGGGTCCAAAGTGAAACTGAGGAAAGACTTAATTATATTGGATGTGTGCTAGATAACCATCTGACAGGGGAGAGCATGGCACAAAAAGTTATCTCCAAAGTTAACCATAAAATTAGGTTTCTGGCAAGAACCTCCAAATATCTGGATAAGAATGCAATGGTGGCATTGGCAGGGGCTCTTGTTCAGTGCTACTTCGACTATGCATGCTCTTCCTGGTACAATAGTGCCCCTAAGATAATAAAACATAAATTGCAGACATCTCAGACTAAATTTGTCAGCAAAATTCTTAAACTTCCAGCACATACTCATCTTGACCATTCCCACATTGAAAGCCTTAGATGGCTCAAAGTGGAGGAGAGACACTCTCAGATTAAATTGTGTCTTGTACAAGATTGTGGTCCCCAGGTACCTATGTAACTACTTTACCTTTAGTCTTCCAAAGAATTTGAAACGTATACCTTCAATGGGTAGTTTCAAGTTCTCACTGAAACAATTGCTAAATAGTAGCATGTCTCAAAAGTGAGTCGTAAGATTATAGTACGTGGCTGAGAAGGAAATGCCGGGGATAGCATATGGTCTGCCTTTTGGGGATTGTGTTGTGTGTATACACTACTGTTCAAAAGTTTGGGGTCACTTAGAAATGTCCTTGTTTTCCATGAAAACATACATTAAATTTGTTTGAATAGGAAATATAGCAAAATGAATAGGAAATGTAGTCATTGACAATGTTAGAAATAATGATTTTTAATTGAAGTAATAATTGTGTCCTTCAAACTTTCGTCAAAGAATCCTCCATTTGCAGCAATTACAGCCTTGCAGACCTTTGGCATTCTAGTTGTACATTTGTTGAGGTAATCTGAAGAGATTTCACCCAATGCTTCCTGAAGCACCTCCCACAAGTTGGATTGGCTTGATGGACACTTCTTATGTACCATATGGTCAAGCTGCTCCCACAACAGCTCAATAGGGTTGAGATCCGGTGACTGTGCTGGCCACTCCATTATAGACAGAATACCAGCTGACTGCTTCTTCCCTAAATAGTTATTGCATAGTTTGGAGCTGTGATTTGGTCATTGTCCTGCTGTAGGAGGAAATTGGCTCTAATCAAGCACCGTCCACGGGGTATGGCATGGCGTTGCATAATGGAGTGATAGCCTTCCTTCTTCAAGATCCCTTTTACACTGTACAAATCTCCCACATTTCCACCACCAAAGCACCCCCAGACCATCACATTGCCTCCTCCAGCATCTTTTCATTTGGTCTGCGTCTCACAAATGTTCTTCTTTGTGATCCGAACACCTCAAACTTTGATTCGTCTGTCCATAACACTTTTATCCAATCTTCCTCTGACTAGTGTCTGTGTTCTTTTACCCATCTTAATCTTTTCTTTTTATTGGCCAGTCTGAGATATGGCTTTTTCTTTGCAACTCTGCCTAGAAGGTCAGCATCCCAGAGTCGCCGCTTCACTGTCGACGTTGAGACTGGTGTTTTGCGGGTACTATTTAATGAAGCTGCGAGTTGAGGACCTGTGAGGCGTCTGTTTCTCAAACTAGACACTAATGTATTTGTCCTCTTGCTCAGTTGTGCACCGGGGCCTCCCACTCCTCTTTTTATTCTGGTTAGAGCCAGTTTGCGCTGTTCTGTGAAGGGAGTAATACACAGTGTTGTACGAGATCTTCAGTTTCTTGGCAATTTCTCACATGGAAAAGCCTTCATTACTCAGAACAAGAATAGACAGACGAGTTTCAGAAGAAAGTTATTTGTTTCTGGCCTTTTTGAGCCTGTAATCGAACCCACAATTGCTGATGCTCCAGATATTCAACTAGTCTCAAGAAGGCCAGTTTTATTGCTTCTTTAATCAGCACAACAGTTTTCAGCTGTGCTAACATAATTGCAAAAGGGTTTTCTAATGATCAATTAGCCTTTTAAAATGATAAACTTGTATTAGCAAACACAATGTGCCATTGGAACACAGGACTGATGGTTGCTGATAATGGGCCTCTGTACGCCTATGTAGATATTCCATTAAAAATCAGCCGTTTCCAGCTACAATAGCCATTTACCACATTAACAATGTCGACACTGTATTTCTGATCAATTTGATGTTGTTTTAATGGACAAACAAATTGCTTTTCTTTCGAAAACATGGACATTTCTAAGTGACCCCAAACTTTTGAACGGTACTGATTATTAGGGATTGATTGTTTTATACAGTACCAGTCAAAAGTTGACACACCTACTCATTCAAGGGTTTTTCTTAATTTTTACTATTTTCTACATTGTAGAATAATAGTGAAGACATCAAAACTATGAAATAACACATATGGAATCATGTAGTAACCAAACAAAGTTAAATAAATTAAAATATATAGCCAACCCTTTGCCTTGATGACAGCTTTAAATCACTCTTGGCATTCTCTCAACCAGCTTCACTGGGAATGCTTTTCCAACAGTCTTGAAGGAGTTCCCACATATGCTGAGCACTTGTTGGCTGCTTTTCCTTCACTCTGCGGTCCAACTCATCCCAAACCATCTCAATTGGGTTGAGGTCGGGAGTGCCTTGAATTCTAAATAAATCACAGACAGCGTCACCAGCAAAGCACCCCCCACACCATCACACCTCCTCCTCCATGCTTCATGGTGGGAACCACACATGCAGAGATCATCCGTTCACCTACTCTGCGTCTCACAAAGACAAGGCGGTTAGAACCAAAAATCTTTGCTTGTGTTTCTTGGCTCAAGCAAGTCTCTTCTTCTTATTGGTGTCCTTTAGTAGTGGTTTCTTTGCAGCAATTCAACCATGAATGTAAATGAAGGCCTGATTCACACAGTCTCCTCTGACCAGTTGATGTTGAGATGTGTCTTTTACTTGGACTCTGTGAAGCATTTATTTGGGCTGCAATCTGAGGTGCAGTTAACTCTAATGAACTTGGAGTGGCTAATAAGTCTGGCTGCGCATCTGACTGGTTGACTTACTGCAAATTGAGAAATTATGTGACTAAACTCAACAAAAAGAAGAAGAAACTGTATTATGAAGCCAAGACCAATGATTAAAGAATGATGAAAACAACTTTGGAGTACTTTAAATGAAATTATGGGTAGAAAGACACATTTAACTCCATCTTTCATCGAATCAGATGGCTTATTCATCACAAAACCATTTGATGTTGCCAAATATTTTAATGATTACTTCATTGTCAAAGTGAGCAAACTTAGGCAGGAAATGCCAACAATGAACAGTGAGCCATCGTATTACCTCCCGAGTGGCGCAGTGGTCTAAGGCACTGCATCGCAGTGCTAGCTGTGCCACTAGAGATCCTGGTTCGAATCCAGGCTCTGTCGTAGCCGGCCGCGACCGGGAGACCCATGGGGCGGCGCACAATTGGCCCAGCGTCGCCCAGGGTAGGGGAGGGAATGGCCGGCAGGGGATGTAGCTCAGTTGGTAGAGCATGGCGTTTGCAACGCCAGGGTTGTGGGTTCGATAAAATAATGTATGTGCTAACTGTAAGTCGCTCTGGATAAGAGCGTCTGCTAAATGACTAAAATGTAAATGTAAATGTATTCATGCATAAAAAAACAAAGAAAGAAAGAAAAGCATTGCAAGTTAGAATTTTGTAAAGTTAGTGTGGGAGAGGTAGAAAAATTATTGTTATCGATCAATAATGACAAACCTCCTGGCATTGACAACTTAGATGGAAATCTACTGAGGATGGTAGCTGACTCTATAGCCACTCCTATCTGTCATATATTTAATCTGAGCCTAGAGGAAAGTCTTTGTCCTCAGGCCTGGAGGGAAGCAAAAGTAATTCCGCTACCCAAGAATGGTAAAGCGGCCTTTACTGGTTCTAACAGTAGACCTATAAGCTTGCTGCCAGCTCTTAGCAAACTGTTAGAAAGATTGTGTTTGACCAAATACAATGCTATTTCTCTGTAAACAAATTAACAACAGACTTTCAACATGCTTATAGGGAAGGGCACTCAACATGTACTGCACTGACACAAATGACTGATGATTGGTTGAAAGAAAATTGATAATAAGAAGATTGTGGGTGCTGTACTGTTAGATTTCAGTGCAGCCTTTGATATTATTGACCATAACCTGTTGTTGAAAAAACTTATGTGTTCTGGCTTTTCAACCTCTGCCATATCGTGGATTCAGAGCTACAGTGGAGAAAAAAACGTATTTAGTCAGCCACCAATTGTGCAAGTTCTCCCACTTAAAAAGATGAGAGAGGCCTGTAATTTTCATCATAGGTACACGTCAACTATGACAGACAAATTGAGGAAAAGAAATCCAGAAAATCACATTGTAGGATTTTTAATGAATTTATTTGCAAATTATGGTGGAAAATAAGTATTTGGTCACCTACAACAAGCAAGATTTCTGGCTCTCACAGACCTGTAACTTCTTCTTTAAGAGGCTCCTCTGTCCTCTACCCGTTACCTGTATTAATGGCACCTGTTTGAACTTGTTATCAGTATAAAAGACACCTGTCCACAACCTCAAACAGTCACACTCCAAACTCCACTATGGCCAAGACCAAAGAGCTGTCAGAGGACACCAGAAACAAAATTGTAGACCTGCACCAGGCTGCGAAGACTGAATCTGCAATAGGTAAGCAGCTTGGTTTGAAGAAATCAACTGTGGGAGCAATTATTAGGAAATGGAAGACATACAAGACCACTGATAATCTCCCTCGATCTGGGGCTCCACGCAAGATCTCACCCCGTGGGGTCAAAATGATCACAAGAACGGTGAGCAAAAATCCCAGAACCACACAGAGGGACCTAGTGAATGACCTGCAGAGAGCTGGGACCAAAGTAACAAAGCCTACCATCAGTAACACACTACGCCGCCAGGGACTCAAATCCTGCAGTGCCAGACGTGTCCCCCTGCTTAAGCCAGTACATGTCCAGGCCCGTCTGAAGTTTGCTAGAGTGCATTTGGATGATCCAGAAGAGGATTGGGAGAATGTCATATGGTCAGATGAAACCAAAATAGAACTTTTTGGTAAAAACTCAACTCGTCGTGTTTGGAGGACAAAGAATGCTGAGTTGCATCCAAAGAACACCATACCTACTGTGAAGCATGGGGGTGGAAACATCATGCTTTGGGGCTGTTTTTCTGCAAAGGGACCAGAACGACTGATCCGTGTAAAGGAAAGAATGAATGGGGCCATGTATCGTGAGTTTTGAGTGAAAACCTCCTTCCATCAGCAAGGGCATTGAAGATGAAACGTGGCTGGGTCTTTCAGCATGACAATGATCCCAAACACACCGCCCGGGCAACGAAGGAGTGGCTTCGTAAGAAGCATTTCAAGGTCCAGGAATGGCCTAGCCAGTCTCCAGATCTCAACCCCATAGAAAATCTTTGGAGGGAGTTGAAAGTCCGTGTTGCCCAGCGACAGCCCCAAAAACATCACTGCTCTAGAGGAGATCTGCATGGAGGAATGGGCCAAAATACAAGCAACAGTGTGTGAAAACCTTACAGAAAACGTTTGACCTGTGTCATTGCCAACAAAGGGTATATAACAAAGTATTGAGAAACTTTTGTTATTGACCAAATACTTATTTTCCACCATAATTTGCAAATAAATTCATTAAAAATCCTACAATGTGATTTTCTGGATTTTTTCCCCTCATTTTGTCTGTCACAGTTGACGTGTACCTATGATGAAAATTACAGGCCTCTCTCATCTTTTTTAGTGGGAGAACTTGCACAATTGGTGGCTGACAAAATACTTTTTTCCCCCACTGTATCTATCTAATAGAACTCAAAGAGTTCTCTTTAATGGAAGCTTCTCTAATGTCAAACATGTACAGTGTGGTGTACCACAGGGCAGCTCTCTAGGCCCTCTACTCTTTTCTATTTTTACCAATGACCTGCCACTGTATGCTGATGATTCAACCATATACGCATCAGCAACCACAGCTAATGAAGTCACCGAAACCCTTAACAAAGAGAGTGAGTGAAAAAAGAATTTGATCCCCTGCTGATTTTGTATGTTTGCCCACTGACAAAGAAATGATCAGTCTATAATTTGAATGGTAGGTTTATTTGAACAGTGAGAGACATAATAACAACATCAAAAATCCAGAAATCGCATGTCAAAAATGTTATAAATTGATTTGCAATTTAATGAGGGAAATAAGTATTTGACCCACTCTCAATCAGAAAGATTTCTGGCTCCCAGGTGTCTTTTATACAGGTAACGAGCTGAGATTAGGAGCACACTCTTAAAGGGAGTGCTCCTAATCTCAGTTTGTTACCTGTATAAAAAGACACCTGTCCACAGAAGCAATCAATCAATCAGATTCCAAACTCTCCACCATGGCCAAGACCAAAGAGCTCTCCAAGGATGTCAGGGACAAGATTGTAGACCTACACAAAGCTGGAATGGGCTACAAGACCATCGCCAAGCAGCTTGGTGAGAAGGTGACAACAGTTTGTGCGATTATTCGCAAATGGAAGAAACACAAAATAACTGTCAATCTCCCTCGGCCTGGGGCTCCATGCAAGATCTCACCTCGTGGAGTTGCAATGATCATGAGAACGGTGAGGAATCAGCCCAGAACTACACGGGAGGATCTTGTCAATGATCTCAAGGCAGCTGGGACCATAGTCACCAAGAAAACAATTGGTAACACACTATGCCGTGAAGGACTGAAATCCTGCAGCGCCCGCAAGGTCCCCCTGCTCAAGAAAGCACATATCCATGCCCGTCTGAAGTTTGCCAATGAACATCTGAATGATTCACACGAGAACTGGGTGAAAGTGTTGTGGTCGGATGAGACCAAAATGGAGCTCTTTGGCATCAACTCAACTCGCCGTGTTTGGAGGAGGAGGAATGCTGCCTATGACCCCAAGAACACCATCCCCACCGTCAAACATGGAGGTGGAAACATTGTGCTTTGGGGGTGATTTTCTGCTAAGGGGACAGGACAACTTCACCGCATCAAAGGGACGATGGACGGGGCCATATACCGTCAAATCTTGGGTGAGAACCTCCTTCCCTCAGCCAGGGCATTGAAAATGGGTCGTGGATGGGTATTCCAGCATGACAATGACCCAAAACACACAGCCAAGGCAACAAAGGAGTGGCTCAAGAAGAAGCACATTAAGGTCCTGGAGTGGCCTAGCCAGTCTCCAGACCTTAATCCCATAGAAAATCTGTGGAGGGAGCTGAAGGTTCGAGTTGCCAAACGTCAGCCTCGAAACCTTAATGACTTGGAGAAGATCTGCAAAGAGGAGTGGGACAAAATCCCTCCCGAGATGTGTGCAAACCTGGTGGCCAACTACAAGAAACGTCTGACCTCTGTGATTGCCAACAAGGGTTTTGCCACCAAGTACTAAGTCATGTTTTGCAGAGGGGTCAAATACATATTTCCCTCATTAAAATGCTAACAACATGCGTTTTTCTGTTTTTTTGTTGTTGTTATTCTGTCTCTCACTGTTCAAATAAACCTACCATTAAAATTATAGTCTGATCATTTCTTTGTCAGTGGGCAAACGTACAAAATCAGCAGGGGATCAAATACTTTTTTCCCCTCACTGTATCTTCTGTATACCACCCCTACCTTGTCACAACACAACTGATTGGCTCAAACGCATTAAGAAGGAAAGAAATTCCACAAATTAACTTTTAACAAGGCACACCTGTTAATTGAAATGCATTCCAGGTGACTACATCATTAAGCTGGTTGAGAGAATGCCAAGAGTGTGCAAAGCTGTCATCAAGGCAAAGGGTGGCTACTTTGAAGAATCTCAAATATATTTGATTTGTTTAACACTTTTTTTGGTTACTACATGATTCCATATGTGTTATTTCATAGTTTTATGTCTTCACTATTATTCTACAATCTAGAAAATAGTCAAATAAAGAAAAACCCTTGAATGAGTAGGTGTGTCCAAACTTCTGACTGGTACTGTATATTAAGGGTATGTGGGACAAGGGAGACGTACCTGTCCATAGTTGTTAATTAAGAAATAGAACTGTACTAATTAGCTCATTTTACGAAACAAACAACAATTGTCTGTCATTGTCTGTTGCCACTGCAGTTGCCGCCTAACCTTGCCCCATCCCTCCCTCCCTCCCTCCCTCCCTCCCTCCCTCCCCAAAAGGACCACAATGGAGCGCCCTTTTGTCTTTTTACAAAAATGGTCTAATAAATTAAAGATATTCTAAACTACATGTTTTAATAACTTTGAAATGTAGTAACAGGCCCATGTAGAATAAACAACCCTTTACATAATACCATAGAAGCAGTGTTCTGCTAATATAACAATGTGCACCTTTCATATTTCATAGTCATTCCCAGCCGATACAGATGCTGTGCCTATCGGCATTTTATCTGGTGGTAATGGGGTTACCTTGGTAACATGTCAGAGTGGTCATACCTTCCTGTCTGGTGGTAATGGGGTTACCTTGGTAACATGTCAGAGTGGTCATACCTTCCTGTGTGGTGGTAATGGGGTTACCTTGGTAACATGTCAGAGTGGTCATACCTTCCTGTGTGGTGGTAATGGGGTTACCTTGGTAACATGTCAGAGTGGTCATACCTTCCTGTGTGGTGGTAATGGGGTTACCTTGGTAACATGTCAGAGTGGTCATACCTTCCTGTGTGGTGGTAATGGGGTTACCTTGGTAACATGTCAGAGTGGTCATACCTTCCTGTCTGGTGGTAATGGGGTTACCTTGGTAACATGTCAGAGTGGTCATACCTTCCTGTGTGGTGTCCCGTATACAAAAGGAGTTCCCTGATGCTGGGGCAGAATACACAAGGTTTCTCCTTCCTCATATTGACTGATATCAATCAATTTAATAAGAAAAAAAGACATTGCAAGTAAAAGTTGTGTCTAGTAAAATGTTTATGTTGAGTGCCAGGTCTCTATCCATTCAGAGACATCAGGATAAAGCCTGTGTGTCAGTCTGGACTTCATCACATCATCTTACAAGTCTCCATGTGCTGACTCCATACTGGCACTATACAGGTATCTGTGAACACATACACACAGTCACTGTTCTATTACCAATGGCAGTTAGGATAGGTGATATCTGACACATAAACATATACTATGTTGAAGTTTGAACAGGTCAGACTAAACCTATCTAATTCTGTTCTCCCCATTGAGGTGAGGCTGGAGGCGAGGTCTATGGGCATAGCAGCGTAGATCAGCTCCTGGACCCTCATCAAAGATACTGGTCGGTCACAAACAAATACACACAGAGCACTGATTACATTATCAATGGTGGTTATGATTAGCCTGGTGAACCAACCTGATCGCTGCATTCACTTTTCCATTTCACTTCAGATATCATAAAATGTGAAGTGAAGTAGAATGGTGAACACAGCGATCAGGCTGGTTCTACCAGGCTAGGTTATGCCATGGACATTATATGCATCTACAGGTATGTCAGTTTACATAAATTATGCTTCACAATTGGGTTATCAAATGTATCAAAAGTAATGAAGTGGGTTACCTTCTGTATTTGTACAAATGATGAGCCTGTGAAAGCTGTTGCCGCTGACAGGTGAAGGTTGCTGGCTGGATACTTGCCAATATGTGGCTGACTGTTCCATTCATAAGAATGCTCACAGCGAGGGCATGTCAACATGATGCTGATGAGGGCCTCCTTGCTGGTCTTCTCTATGCTGCATGTTCAGCTGCAAACTGGACATCTCTCGAACAACTGCAGCAGGCAGTCTTATGAGGTGGTGTTGACTGGGAGGGCCTGTAACAGGGTGATATAATAGTCAGCCAAATGGTAAATTGTATTTTTTATCTAAAGAAAAGGACAAAGCCTTTTGCTAATGCACTTCACAACCAAAATGACTCTACTAGTTGTATCTGTTTATGACTCTACTAGTTGTATCTGTTTGGCTGGGGAATTAGCCTACTAGTTTATCAAGCCTGGTATTTTTTAATACAACTTTTCACATAACACACATTACCTGTCGTTGTTTATGAAGCCATCTGTGTCATCAGGGCAGTAACTCGGGTCACTATCCTTTTCATAGGAGTCAAGGGAGACTGGCAACAACGGAGGTGTCACAAGGGGTTCTTGTGTCACATGACACACTTTTATTCTGAGGAATTGCTTGACAACCTGTGAAAATAGCAAGTGAACAGTGAATTAAAAGATTGTTGGAGGTCCCTAAACCATTGAAATCATATTGCTGGACATGTTATGATACCCACCTTTGCTCCTTCTGGTAGGTCCGGACATCCGTTCATGACCAGGGGATCCGTTTGGCATTCAACTGTGCACTTGGTCTAACAGAAAAACAGGGTCAACGATTGTCATCATCCCTCAGTTATAAACATAGCTTGAGAAATAACGTAATCTCGTTTGGAAGCTAATTCGATGCTTTACAGTTGACTAACTGGCTCCAGATTGGATTAGATTCAGGCCGGTGACGCCGTTACACTATGCAACCAACCGTGACATGTTTTTACACGTGGTCTGCAGTTGGAGGCCGGTTAGAGTTTCTGCCAAACTTCTCTAAAACTACGTTGGAGGCGGCTTACGGTAGAGAAATGAACATTCAATTCTCTGGCAACAGCTCTGGAGGACATTCCTGCAGTCAGCATGCCAATTGCACACTCCCTCAAAACTTGAGATATCTGTGGCATGGTGTTGTGTGACAAAACTGCACATTTTAGAGTGGCCTTTTATTGTCCCCAGCACAAGGTGCACCTGTGTAATGATCGTGCTGTTTAATCAGCATCTTGATATGCCACACCTGTCGGGTGGATGGATTATCTTGGCAAAGGAGAAATGTTCACTAACAGGGACGTAAAAATGAAGCTTTTTGTGAGTATGGAAAAATTCTGGGATCTTTTATTTCAGCTCATGAAACATGGGACCAACACTTTACATGTTGCCTTTATATTTTTGTTCAGTATAGATAGCTAGCTAGTTAGCTAGCTAACATCAGCTATGCTAGTGATAATGATTATCAAAATATGCATAACCAGATACATAAGCAGCAGTCTATGTTCTAGCTACAAGTATACTCACTTTTCAGTCTCAAATGATCCTTTGATGTGAACGGTTTGGGGACGATGAAACAATGGATCCACAGTCAATGAGGGGGTTCATTTATCTGTCCTAGGTTACCCCTGTGGGAGGAGTTTGAACCTTGTGAAAAGTGACTGCATTCATTTTGAAACCGGGCTGCCTCCCAGGTGTGAGCCAGGTGCCCCACTCTGGCTGACAAGGAAGTCGGCTTAAAACAAATGTGACGTAATCAAGCACGTGGAGAGATGAGTAGGATTCTGTGTTTTCACATGCAAAAGTGATTGCATTCCCAATGAAAACTAAATTAGTATGCAAATTCAAACATTTATTTGTTTCTGGACGATGCACCTAGCTGACTTGTTGACAACATGACTGAGCGGCGCAGATTAGCCTACTGTTTGATTTAGCCCGATGACGTGACGGGCCATTGCCCGGTTCAACCCGGGCCAGCGTAATAGGACTCCCTCAATGAAGGGAAGCGAAGTTGGCGGGGGGCGATTTGCACGTGGAGCTTGGCAAAAGGGGGCATGATTTGTTGACATAATTGTAATCCAAACCAAACCTTCATTTACTTTTAAGGTTTAGGTTTTAAACTCAGTTTTATACGAGACTGACTTGATGTACATTTTGACACTAGAATCAATGCCACATAGGCAGTTTTCAAAGGGATTAGTTGGTTTTTAGGGGTAGTCGCTCTTAGACTTTCTTGGGATGGTAGTTATCATTGGGCCAATGGATGTAGCCATGTCATGACTAAACCAGTGTTGTGTTTGTATAGACAACAGAGCAATAAAGGGAAGAAGGGAGTCATGCAGGGATGTGAGAGGAAAATATCGACATGTAGAACAAAAACTAACAAACAAGACAAAAGCAAATGGATTAGACTCTGCAGTCAGAAATCTACAACAGGGAGGTGAATTATAGGCTATTGACACTTTTTGTCTCACAAACCTAGTGACTGTTTTTTAAGTAGTAATATGCTTTAACTTCTGATTCATTGAAGCTGTCACTAACTCATACTTTGCAATAGCAGCTCAAGATCTGTATGGGCACAGTGTACTGTCTGGACCCCAAGCCCCTAGTATACTCCTTGGGAATCGGCATGGCCAAAATTCCACTCAGCCTATCACCATACTTTCTAAGTCTTTCAGATGGGTCTTTCAGATGTGTGTAGTGCCCTAGCACTACACACAGCTGATTAAAAAAAATCTACTCATTATCAAGGTTTGATTATTTGAAATCGGCTGTGTAGTGCTAGGGCAAAACCCAAAATGTGCACCCCTTGGGCTCCCCAGGATCGAGTTTGGGAAACACTGGTATAAGGGCTGGTGGTCGATATGGAAATCATAATTTGACCCCTATGAACAATTATTTAACCTCCTATGACCTATGTGACAGGCTTTGCATGGTCCCATGCCAGACAGACAGCTGTAATAACATATGTTCCTTTTGCGGGTAGCCTACACAGAACAGAACTAGGAAAATTAAGGATAGGGTAATGGGCCTCCAGTCTAAGAAGTGAAATTATGCCCCGTTCACGAAATGTCTGAATCTCGGCCACTCAGAGTTAAAATCAACTCAATCTATTTGCAGAGAGCTTCCTATTGGTTGATTCTGATACTTCCCAAGTGGGAAACTCGGGTATCATGACATAGCATAATAATAAATACAAAATCTGCTTATTTTTAGGTATGAATTTAGATTTAGATTAGGTTTTTCTGTTATAACTTATTCATGTTATTATCAACAATGGGTACATGCAAATGTGTTTATAATTAGGCTAACCAACATCATTGTTTTGCCAGCTACCACAGCTGTCACCAATGTCAGGCAGGGCAAACCCGTTTTGATGATTTCTGGTACATCATTAAAATAAATAAATCACAGCTAGTTTTTGGACTCAATTAGCAGTTTTTACCTGATTAAGTACAATACCATTGGAAATGAATGTTAAAAGTTAAATTAATACTCCTAAACCTTAAATTGAAAACGATGCTGTTGCTGCTTCCTGTTGACAAGACATTTTGATAAATAGCCCAAAGTCAAAACCAGACGTAATCTGGGAATAATGTGTACATCACTGGTTAGAGGACAACTTGTAGAAGACACCTAGCCACATTTTGAAGTGTTGCATTTTGATTCAAGTGGGTTGCCAACGTTTTTTGTTAATCACTTCCATGGATATCACGTTGAAATTAATAGAACAGGAGGCAAAGTTTTGGGGTGTATGCGCCAGCGGCGAGTCGTCTTTTAGGGCGTTAGGTGCGGTGCCCCATTTGTGATTGGTCCCCCCAAAACAGTACAAATATTTGTATTTAAAAATATATATACAGTACCAGTCAAAAGTTTGGACACACCTACTCATTCCAGGGTTTTTCTTTATTTTTACCATTGTCTACATTGTAGAATAATAGTGAAGACATCAAAACTATGAAATAACACATATGGAATCATGTAGTAACCAAAAAAGTGTTAAACAAACCAAAATATATTTTATATTTGAGATTCTTCAAAGTAGCCACCCTTTGCCTTGATGACAGCTTTGCACACTGTTGCAGCTCTGCTTCTGTGGGTGCATAGGCCGTGCGAACATTGCATGGATTGTTTTGACAGACACTTGCTATGAGGGGGAAATGCCTCAGTGAAATCGCAGGATTTCATAGCATAAATTATAACAGCACAAAGTAAATGGACCATCCTGGGGCGCTCAAATGTGCATCCGTTCAGTCAGAACTTCTGAGTCTGCTGTAGTCTCCCTCCCAATGAGACTCTCGCGCCAGACAGCTTACTTTCGCAAGCAAGACTAGATCTGCTCTATCAGGTACAGATGGTGCTAAAGCAAAAAGCAATAATTAACTTGTAAATAAATCATCATAACAGTCATGGGAGCCTGGGAGCCTGGGACCTGATAAACCGGACAACTACATCCAACAAGAATCGAAGGACAGATGGATACATTAGCTCCAACTTTCTCATCCCGGATCTGGTAGGGCAAAAAATAAATGTGTTTTGTTCCCCCCCCCCCCCCCATGTTGTTCATCTCAGGTTCTAGGTGAGAGCATGACATGTTGTGTGGACAAAAACAGCATAAAACCGGGTGTATCACAAAGCATGATCAAATGAATTAGCCAGCTACAGTACATTTGAGAAACATAGATATTTGTGCGTCTAACTTATCATTATTCACGATTCATTCAGGACTAGCCGTAATCATGGAAGCGTCCCACATTAACGTAGAAGTGTTTAAAAACATATTTCATTCTTATATACAATAAAAGTGACTCCAAAATGACACAATACATTATTTACCATTCATTTCTATGGGGCACAGAATAATCTGAAACACAACCAAAACAAACAGAAAATGCATCCAACAAGTTTGTTGAGTCACAAGCTTGGTGTAATCATTGCATGCTAGGAATATGGGACCAAATACTACACTTTTGACTACTTTAATACACATAAGTGAATTTGTACCAATACTTCTGATATCCCCTAAAATGTACTATGTACATAAAGTGCTGTAATTTCTCAACGGTTCACCCAATATGGTTGAACATACCCTCAAATGAAAGCTGACAGTATGCACTTTAACCTCATAGTCATTGTATCATTTCTGGAGTACAGAGCCAAAACAACAAAATGTGTCAATGTCCCAATACTTTTGGAGCTCACTGTAGTTTGGTTGATTTTTTTGTCAAATGAACCAGTTGATAAGCAGCTGCCATGCCAATTTAAAGTCTTTCTAAACTAATATCTGACTAACTCGGAAATTTGAAGTTATTTCAGAATGAAAGTTAACTAGCTAGCGCATCATGCTTTATGACATTATGTTAGCTAGCTGACCCCAGTTAGATAATGTGTTTTCACTTATTGCATCTACAGGCTTGTTGCGTTCTCCCTGGTGCACTCGTTCGTTCGTGACCTGGCTGCTCGTTCTAAATAGTATAATCTAATCTGTTTAAAACAGTGGCAGCATGTGCAGCAGTGGCCTTTCGGTTTTGACATGCAAACATTACATAAATCTATTTATGCTGTTGTTCAAATGCACAGATCGGTTTATATATACAGTAGGTCGTTTTGAAAACGTGGCATCATCTGTCATGCTGCTTTGTTGACAACTCCAACCACTTTTTGTCCCAGGTATTCAGCCAATCAGTGGCTGCCACTGGTACGCGCTGTTTAAATCACTGTTCATTTCATGAGCCTCCTTTTGCCATTGAAATGTCAGTCTGATCATGTGGGCATGTTGATATAAAGTATATAAATATATTTACATTTGTATGTCACAGGAAGGCCAAAAAGATAATCAAGGACATCAACCACCCGAGCCACGGCCTGTTCACCCCGCTATCATCCAAAAGCCAAGGTCAGTACAGGTGCATCAAAGCTGGGACCGAGAGACTGAAAAACAGCTTCTATCTCAAGGCAATCAGACTGTTAAATAGCCATCACTAGCCGGCCTCCACCCAGTACCCTGCCCTGAACTTAGTCACTGTCACTAGCCGGCTACCACCCAGTTACTCAACCCTGCACCTTAGAGGCTGCTGCCCTATGTATATAGACATGGAATCACTGGTCACTTTAATAATGGAACACTAGTCACTTAACTAATGTTTACATACTGTTTTACTCATACTGTATTCTAGTCAATGCCACTCCGACATCGCTCGTCCTAATAATTATATATTTCTTAATTACATTATTTTACTTTAAGATGTGTGTATTGTTGTGAATTTTTAGAAAATACTGCACTGTTGGAGCTAGGAACACAAGTATAGCTACACCTGCAATAACATCTGCTAAATATGTATACAGTGCATTCGGAAAGTATTCAGACCCCTTGACATTTTTCAACATATTGTTAAGTTACAGCCTTATTCTGAAATGGATTAAATGAAAACATTTCCTCATCAATCTACACACAATACCACATAATGACAAAGTGAAAACAGGTTTTTTGAAATTGTTGCATATTTATAAAAAACTAAAACAGAAATACCTTATTTACATAAGTATTCAGACCCTTTGCTATGAGACTCGAAATTGAGCTCAGGTGCATCCTGTTTCCATTGATCATCCTTGAGATGTTTCTACAACTTGATTGGAGTCCACCTGTGGTAAATTCAATTGATTGGACATGATTTGGAAAGGTACACACCTGTCTATATCGGGGGAGAAGGGCCTTGGTCAAGGAGGTGACCAAGAACCCGATGGTCACTCTGACAGTGTTCCAGAGTTCCTCTGTGGAGATGGGAGAACCTTCCAGAAGGACAACCATCTCTGCAGCACTCCACCAATCAGGCCTTTATGGTAGAGTGGCCAGACGGAAGCCATTTCTCAGTAAAAGGCGTTTGCTAAAAGGCATCTAAAGACTCTCAGACCATGAAAAACAAGATTCTCTTGTCTGATGAAACCAAGATTGACCTCTTTGGCCTGAATACAAAGTGTCACGTCTGGAGGAAACCTGGCACCATCCCTACAGTGAAGCATGGTGGTGGCGGCATCATACTGTGGGGATGTTTTTCAGCGGCAGGGACTGGGAGACTAGTCAGGTTTGAGGGAATGATGAACGGAGCAAAGTAGAGAGAGATCCTTGATGAAAACCTGGGATGAAGGTTCACCTTCCAACAGGACAACGATGCTAAGCACACAGCCAATACAATGCAGGAGTGGCTTTGGGACAGCTCTCTGAATGTCCTTGAGTGGCCCAGCCAGAGCCCGATCTAACATCTCTGGAAAGACCTGAATATAGCTGTGCAGCGACGCTCCCCATCCAACCTGACAGAGCTTGAGAGGATCTGCAGAGAAGAATGGAAGAAACTCCCCAAATACAATTGTGCCAAGCTTGTAGCGTCATACCCAAGAAGAATCGAGGCTGTAATCGCTGTCAAAGGTGCTTCAACAAAGTACTGAGTAAAGGGTCTGAATAAGTATGTAAATTTGATATTTCCGTTGTTGTTTATTTATACATTTGCAAAAATTTCTAAAAACCTGTTTTTGCTTTGTCATTATGGGGTATTGTGTGTAGATTGATGAGGAAAAAATACAATGTAATCCATTTTAGAATAAGGCTGTAAGGTAACAAAATGTGGAAAAAGTCA